CAATCAAAGGCATAACTTAACAATTCTAGTAAGGCTGCTAAAATTTTCTCTTCTTAAGTAATTATTCTTCTTTATTCCAGTTTTATTTGACTAGTAGATCAATAAGCTTTATTATTCCAGTGGACATAAGTTCTTTCCTCTTACTCACATGATATACCCACAGCTTTACAGGAAATCCAAATGCAGAATGAGTGTTCCACATTGCTTATTTCCCAGAGGAAAAAAGGTTAAAAGAGAGTTTTTTTTGTTGTTGGTACTGGGGATTAAACTCATCTCACACTTACCAGGCAGGCACTTGTGCCACTGCGCTGTATCCCCCGTGCCATTTCTAGATCTTACACAGTCACTGATGAGCAGTCCAGTCTGTCATCTTGTCCTAGGAAATGCCCCAAAGGGAAGGCCACTCAATGCAGGCCTTCGATTGATCGTGCCAGGTTCCCAAAGCACTGTGGGGCTTTACTCTGCCAGGAACCTGGTATGACTGAGCCAGGGGACAAGTCCTCTTCCTGTGAGCCTCTATCCAGGCGACGTGTCATACTGGATTTCCCTCATTATGTACCCATTTGTTCACTTATTTCCTCTTCTTGCCTTTGGGAGGAGGCTCTGGCTCACCTCACTGTGGGGGTGGGCAGGGTTCAGCACACAGTCCTCCATAATATACCTCCACAGCTTTTGCACAAACAGCAGAGGAGACCTGGGGCCAAAGTCTCTCTGCTCACCAATACCTGAAGACAAGAGTCGATAGAAAGGAAATTAAGTTTCATCAAAGGCTGGCATCCTGAGATGGGGAGGGGAGATACCACTTTCCCCAAAACAGCCATGTTGGGGAGCTCAGGGCCATGAGAGAGCTTCCAAAGGGACAGAAAAGGGCCAGAAGGCAGGGGGCAGAAAGACCAATGAGCTGGGGTGGTCCTTGCCACCGGGAACACAGGCTGCAGCCTGACTGGCCAGGACCTGCCAGCACACCTTGGCCCCGGGCTGGCCCCTATGCTCCTGAAATTCTCCAGACAGACGTGTTCCATGCTGTTCTGTGCATTAAGCTCCATGGCAATCCCATGTTTTGTGTTGATGGGCTACAGTATGGAGGGGTGTTATACTTCCTCATGTTACCTGAGGTCACCAGATGTCTAGGTTTTATAAATCTAAAGAATGGTTATTATTTAAAAAAAAATAAAGGTTACTTAGTGCTTAACACCTTAACCTGGTGGGTGTGACTGTTGTTTAGAACTTGGTATGCCAGGCAAAGGGAGGTGAAGTCAGAGGACAGCCGCTCTGTCCGAAACAGCTGGCTGTTCTCCTGGCCCACTTGCTCCTCTCCTGCATTAAGACGGAAACCACAGGAAGATTTCCCTTTGTCTGCTTCCTGGCACTGGAACCCAACACAGTGGATAATTTATAAGTAGAGGGAATTTATTTCTTACAGTTCAGTAGTGTGCAAAGTACAGGATCAAAAGGTCCATCCAGTGGCTACATCCTCCATGGCACAGGGCATCACATAAGGAGGAACTGTGCCTGAGAGACTGGCAGGATGGAGAAAGGAGTCAGGCTGAACCCATCCTTTCCTTCAGGGACTCCTGAGATAACAACAGTCATGTTCTCCTTTATTTTGTGGGTTTTTTTTTTTTTCTGTCTTTTTGAGACAGGGTCTCACTATGCAGTTCAGGCAGGCCTTGGGCTCACTTTGTAGCCCAGTCTGGTCTCAAACTCGCAGTGATCCTCCTGCCTCAGCCTCCCGAGTGCTGGGGTTACAGGCATGAGCCACCATCCCTGGCTTATTTTGTGTTTTTTCAAACAGGGTCTCACCATGTCGTTCAGACTGGTCTTGAAATCACTATGTAGCCCAGGCTGGCCAATCCTCCTGCCTCAGCCTCCAGAGTGCTGAGGTTACAGGCATGTGCCTAATCCTCTCTCGAAGGTCCCATCTCTTAATACCATCACAATGGCAATTAAATTTTAATATGGTTTTGGAAAGAGCTCTCATCAGCACAGCCAGAGGCCACCATAGGCATAAACGACAAACTCCTGGGCCCTTAACCTACTACTTGTTTTTGTTTTGGTACTGGGGATTGAACTCATGACCTTGAGCTTGCCAAGCAGGCACTTAGGCCACTGAGCTAAACCCCCAGCTAACCCACTACCTGTTAAATGCACGATGTGAGTTTTCTGCTGAGGCAGTCAGGGACTCCAGAGTTTTTGGTAAAATATGACACTTCAGTTGGCCTTAGATGCCTGCCCAGCAGGCAAATGTAAAACAAAGTTTGATCTTCATTTATTACCTGAAAAATTTGGGCCAGGTCCTTGCTCAGTTCTACATACTTATTAAAGGCAGGAAAAGGCGTGCAGTGTGGGTGAGACAGCCCAGTGCCAAGAGCTTAAAGGCCGCCATCTTCTGTGGCGCCCTCTGCGGGCTGATGTTGGACCTAGGCTGCTGTATCAAAACCTGCTTGGTTTCAGGTCAGAAGAACCGAAGCAACATTTTCTGACTGGCTTCAGGCTCAGGGCTTGGGCGCATGTGTCCTCAATTTCCATGACTGACAGGGTATGCCTGCTTGCCCAGCCTGCTCACCACAACAGAACCGCTCACCTCAGTCCCACTCTTTTGTTCACCCGCCAGTCTGATTCTTTTCACCAAATCAGAGTCCCCTGAAGCCCCTGAAGCTGAAGTGTCTGCCCTGTTTCCTCTTACTTTCTAACTCTGCCTAATAAATTTGCATAGGCCTCACTGTCATGTCGTGAAATGCTTTTCTTTGACGACAAACCTATCCAAGGCCAGTTCATGCCCCCACCTTCTTTTGAGGGACCTCTAGGGATTCCTTGTGAAAAAACTGTAACGCGAGCCCAGACTGGAACTCATACAAAGGCTGAGGGTTAGCATAGGAAAGATGCTCGTCTCTCTAGAGCCTCCTAGGCTTTTTAGGAGATCATCACCAGGAACTAGAGTCCACTGGAGTCCACGATGGCCACGGCACTCACATGACTTGTGGCTGTAGTTGAATGTCCTACAAACCTCTGTCATGGTTTCTCTCTAGACATCCCCCTAAACTCTGAGGCAGGGCTGGTGGGAGGTGATTGGATTGTGGGGTGCTACCGCTGGCTTGGTCAGAGGAGGTGGGTCACCAGCAGTGTAGCCTGTGAGAGTGTAACCTGCTTCCTAGGGCCTCTCTCCAATCTCTACTTCTGGCTGCCAGGATGTGGGCAGCTTTTCCTCCACCAGCCTTTCTGCCACGCTGCCCTGGCCCGACTGCCCAAACATGCACTGAAACATGAGCCACAAATAAACCTTCCCTCTCTAAGTTGAGTGAGACTGTCTTAGTTACTTTTCTCTTGTTGCTCAAAGTACCTGACATTCAAAGTTTAAAGGTGGAAAGGCTTATTTAGCTTACAGTTTGTGGAGGTTTCAGTCCATAATCAGCAGGCTCCAAGGCAGGGTGGCCTGGCACAGAATCAACAGATCATGGCAATGGAAGACAGCAACAGCAACAAGAGCAAAAGGGAGGGGCAAGCCTCGTTTGGTACCTTACATTGTAAGCAGCTGTAGGGCTGCTGCAGTACTCACACCCCCATCCCAGCACTAGACAGTGAACCAATCCCCAACTCTAGATCCAATCACTGCCTCTGAAAAGCCTGCCTTGGCCCATGACTGCATGAGGCTTTAGGGGGACATCCAGATACAAACCACTTCCTATGTAAAGAAGTAGAAATGGCAGATAAATATATGAAAAAAACGTTCAGCATCACTGGTCTTTCCAGAAACGCAAATTAAAACAAAGTTGAGATTCCATCTTAACTCCGGAAAGAATAGCTATCATCAAGAAACCAACCGGTAACAAATGCTGAAGGGTCTTTGGGAAAAAGGAACCCTTCTCCACTGCTGGTGGGAGTGTAAACTGGTGCAACCACTGTGGAAATCAGTGTGGAGATTCCCTAGAATCTACCAGAGGTTCCATTCAACCCAGCCCCCTCCTTGCAAAGATCTTGGGTTCAAACCCCAGCGCTGGGTGTGTGTCTGTGTGTCAGAGACCCCGTGGACACTGCTTAGGTCCCACGAGGCTCCGTGGGAGGGGCACACGATGACATGGTCACCACCACACAGGCAGAGCTCAGTGAGGAGATCGCGCACAGCCACCCCGCCGCCGCCTCGCCGGCAGAGGGCGCGCACGCTCCACCCGCGCAGCCGAACGGCGCAGGCCCCGCCCGGTCCCGCCCGCCCCGCCCTCGGCCCCGCCCCTCCCCGCCCCGCGAGGTCCAGGCACCATGGCGGGAGAGCGCACGGCGGCTGCGCTGTCGGGCTTCGTGCTGGGCGCGCTGTCCTTCCAGCACCTCAACACCGACGCCGACACGGTGAGCGGCGTCGCCTCCCCGCCTGGCCACTGCCCGTCCGGGCTCGCGGCCGACCAGGCTTTCCGGCTGCTGCAGTAGCCGTGCGCAGGCCTCCGCTCCGAGGGGCGGGCCGGCCAGGCCGCGCGTGCGCAGCCGGGGCGTGAAGAGCCCGCCCGCGCCGCTTCCCGGGCCAGAGACTCCCGGGCGGGTTCCAGGGGCCGCTGCCGCGCGCGTTGGTCCCTTCGTCTGGGGTCACAGCCTCAGGGGCGGGGTACCAAGGTGTGCAAGGGCGCAGCGCCGCTGTCAGCCTGGGAATGGGGAAGGCGTCAAGGCTGGGGGCACCGCAGAGCCTCACGTGCACCCAGCCTCGCCGACCCAGGGAGGCCCCAGGTCAAGACATGTCCAGGGGCTTTTAGACAACAAAACGCATGGCCTGCGCGTGTGAGCGCAGCATTGGGAGGCTGAGGCAAGAGGATCGCCTCCAGGTTGAGGCTAAACTGGGCTACACGTTGCGGAAAGGCCAGCGAGACTCTGCCCCCAAAACCAGTACATACATGTTGTGTGTTCCCCCAAGTCGCTTTTTAACAGATCCTGAGAGGTTGTAATCGGTATGTTTTGTGTATACCTTTTTTTTTTTTTTGTCAGTGTTTTTCTTTTTTGAGACAAGGTCTCACTCTAGTTCAGGCTGGCCTTGAATTCATTTCTATCCTCCTGCCTCAGCCTCCTCAATGCTGGGCTGACAGCTGTACGACATCATGCCCAGCTGTGTATACTGTTTCCAATAACCTTACATGCTATCATCTAGCAAAGAGCAGATACAGAAGGAAAATCAGACTGACCAAGGCGCTTGTCTGGGGCGAGCTGCGTGCAGTTGTGGATGGAAGGCGCTGCTTTGCGGGTGCCCAGGCCGCTGGCCCCCGGCCAGGCCGAGAAGGAACGCAGGGCCCTGTGGGAGGAGTCCTGTGGTCAGCTCCTGGAGTAGGGAGGTGGCATGCTGTAGTAACATTCAAGAGGGTAAGATTTCATCAGGCACCCTGGCTCTTCAAATGCACGCCCAGGACAAATGGTTCTCCAAAATGCAGCGATGTGGCCGCGTTGGGTGAGGCATTGTCCACGCAGGCTCAGAAAACGAACTCCGAGCTGCAGACCCATGGTTTGCAGTTTTCAGTTCGAAGAGCGGGCTCCTGGCGGAACTTCCAGCCCAGCGTGCAGCCCCAGCCCTCCAGGCCCCGGCCCCGGCCCCAGCCTTCCGTGGTCAACGGCCGCAGTGCCGCCCCCCCCCCCCCGTGTGGGCCGCGTTGCTCAGCCCCTTCCCAAGCTACAACTGCAGTGCGCCGCCCTCCGCCATGCATGGTCAGGTGCCCTGCACGTTCCATACGCGACTTCTCTGTCCACAGGAAGGGTTTCTTCTCGGCGAAGTGAGAGGCGAGGCCAAGAACAGCATCACCGACTCCCAGATGGACGATGTGGAAGTCGTTTACACAATTGGTAAGGCGCCTGTTTCTGTGTCCAGCTCTGGTAAAAGCTGAGAATCACAGATTTTTTTTTTTTTTTTTTTTTATCGGTACCGGGGATCGAACTCACGACCGCCTGCTTGCAAGGCAGGTGCTTATGCCGCTGAGCTAAATCCCCAGCCCCGAATCACAGATATTATTGTTTTTAAATTGTTAAAGGTATGCTAATTTTGGCCAGGCACAGCAGGCACACACCTGTAATCCTTGCCCTCTTGGAGGCCGAGGCTGTAAGGTTTGCTGTGAGTTTGAGGCCAGCCTGGGCTACACAGGGATGTCCTGTCTTAAAAAACGAAAACCAGTGCTAGGACCAGGGGTTTCGCTCAGCAGCACAACAGCTGCCTGGCTAGTGCAAGGTCCTGTGTTCCATTCCCGGTCCCCAAACAAACAGACAGTGGTAACTTTTGTTTTTCTTTGTTTTGTAAGACAGGATCACCAGTGCAGTGCAGCCATCTGCCCTCCAGTTCAGGGTGATCCTTTTTTTAAAAGCTTCTGCCTCTTGAGGGCAAGGATTGTACATGTGCACCACCACACCCAGCTAAGCGAACATTCTGGAGTTACTGTCTTATGCTAGGTACACTGCTAAACTTTCTTTGGTCCAATTATTTACTCTCTTATTTATTGATACGGGAAAGCAGCCTCACGACCTTGCACTTGCCAGGCAGGTGCTGTGCCACTGAGCTATATCCCCTGCCCCAGTAATCTAAAATGTTAGATTACTTCAGCATGGATGGCGGATGGGTTAAGGTACAAGATGGGCAGATTACATCTTGCTTTGAATCATGGGGTTTCTGTCATTTTCACACTGTCTTGTCATGTCTGTGCGCTAGAGTGGATTTCACCAGTTAGCAGGTACAGACTGTCTGGTGTTTTTGCAGTTAGGATTGATCTAAGGGTAACACATAGATTTGCCAGAAGAAAAATGTCTGAAGAAGAAGAGAACGTTCCCTGTTCCTCTTTAGCTGCAATATTGCCATGAAGAAGATTAAAAACTCCCATTTTGAAATATATATATATATATATATATATATATTAAGATATACTAATTTCCAGTAGTTCATTGAAAAAGAAAAGTTTGTGCTTATATTGTCTGATCAATTTTCATGCCTATGTCTAGTCATATGAGCAATGACTTTGAAGATAACAATACACAATGTTAACTGTTGTTACTCTCCTACTATCTTGTTTTGAATTTTATATCATTGTTTTTTTCTCTTTAAAAAAAAATTCCCTTTTAAGATGATAGAGTTTTTGTTTTGTTTTCTTTGATTGAAAGCTAACACCAAGAAAAACTTTTTGTAACAACTACTTGGGATAACGAAAGAGATTCCCTTTACCAGATATGCCTTAATTTTATCAGCTGGGTAAATTTAGAACTTATTGTTTTTCAGGCTCAATGTACACACAGCAGTTTGGACTTCCCTTTTTGAGGCGGATATGATTTCCTGTTTAGTGGTCATGGAGCCTGTGGCCCTGAGCAGGACTCCCAAGTTGAACCCCGGCTCCCCAACCACTATGGGGAGACCATGCAGAGGCCAAGAGCATGTGTCTCGTGGGTTCAATATGCAGAATAAGTGAGATAATCCATAGTGAAGTACTTTTGGGCATGAAGAATGCTCAGTATGCTATTCAGATGGTCACTCATTGACTAACTAAAACTAAATAACTCATATATACAACTTCTCCTTTTCCAGACATTCAGAAATACATTCCATGCCACCGGCTTTTCAGGTGAGTAGCCATAGTGAGAGCAGGTCAGTTACCCGGCGTGATCCCTGTAAGTGGGAGGGTTTGAGGCTTACCCAGCACCTCAGTTATCAGCTGTACATGGAAAGACGCCTTGGGCCGCTGTCTGCAGGGCCGGCCCTTTAGCTAGTGCCACCAACGCTGAGGACAAGTGCTCATCCCACAGGCACCTGCCTGTGTCCTGTGAACCCGGTGAGGCGTTCCTAGAGGTCAGCACAGCCCCTCCTCCCACCCTGATTGCCTTTCCAGCAGCTGTTGCTTCACCCGCTTTTTGGCGTTCTCCTCTGCTAACCGGCTGTCTTCCTAGACCTCTCCTGGTACTCTTCTCGGTGCAGGCTTATGCTGTCAGTCTCACGGAGGGTTAGAATGAGTTTGATCCCTAGTACCAAAAAAAAGGACTGTGAGCCCTAATGGGCTGTATTTGCGGACAGAGGTGTAATGTACACGTAGACAGGGGCCCAGGAGCTTTACAGAGGAAACCACACAGAGCACCACTGCAGTCCTTCTCTCACCCGCCTCAGAGCTGGTGGGCACGTGGCTAAGCGCAGAGGGGCGTGCTGGGGACACAGCAGACAGAAAGGTTGTGTTTTCACACAGTTTTGTGCCTTAATCTTAATACAGAGATGGCAAAGTAGACCGCAGTGAACTGTTTTCATGTGGCCCTGAATCTAAAACTGCATTTTTTGGGTCAGGCATGGCATCACAAGCCTATAATCTCAACACTCAGGAGGCTGAGGCAGAAGCAGGAAGATTGTTGAGAGTTTGAGGCCAGCCTGGGCTATACAGTGAGTTCAAGGCACAGGGACTGCAGAGCAAGACCCTGTCTCAAAAAAAAGGTTTTGAAAGGTAGTTAACAAAACCAGAGGAAGTGCACACGGTAGGAAGCACACACCTAGCAAAGGTCCAAATGCTTGGTCTCACCGTTACGGGGGAGTTTCTTGCTCTGTAGCGATCACCACCTCTCACACTTACCCCCTGGACACCCTGTTTCATGTACCTTAGGGATGGAGGGGGAGGTACCTGGGAGACAGCCCACCAAAGTTCAGAACTAAGTCACTGAAAATCAACTTGTGGGTCACAGTGGGCATACCTGTAACCCCAGCACTCTTGAGGCTGAGGCAGGAGGGTCACTGAGTCCAAGGCCAGCCTGGGCAACAGAATGAGACCTTGTCTTAAAAACCAAAACAAAATGTATGTGAAGTTAGGAACTCTGCACTGTGTGCTTATTTCTGTATAGAAGTTGCACCCTGCCCTCCCTGAAGCCCCGCGTGCATGCGGCTCTGGCCTGCAGGTGCTGGGGAGACAGCAGGAAGCTGTGGTGTGGCTTTCACACTGACAGGAGAGGATTAATGGAAGATCCCTTTGACCAACTTGAAATCTTCCTTCTTTGCACGCTGTCACTTTGTTTTGTTTGCTTTCCTATTAAAAATGTTTTCATGTAAGTCCTTGTAAATTTTACAATTAAAAACACTACTAGGATTCTTTTCAGTTTTACATACCTGAATGTTTTCAGTTTACACAAAATACCACGAAAGCCCTTTGTGATGAATATTGTTTGAATAATATTTCACCATAAAAGTGGAAGGCCAGGTATGGTGGCACATGCCTATAATCCCAGCACTCAGGAGGCTGAGGCAGGAGGACTGCTGCGAATTCAAGGCCAGCCCGAGCTACATAGTGAGTTCTAGGCCAGCCTGAACTACACAGCGAGACTAAAAAGCCAACAAACAATAGAAATAGGTATTATTGATCTTGACACTAAAAATAAAGAAAAAATTTTGGTATCTCTGCTGTAGAAGGGAAAGCTGGAAGTGCCTCAGGTTAGAGTCTTTTCTTCTGAATCTTTGTATATAGTAGACATTTCAGTGGCAGAAGAAAGACCACCAAAGCTCAACCAAAACCTGCCCTTCTCTGGCCTACCCAGGACACCCTCCTCTAGCCCTACCCTAGCACGTTTGTCCTCTTGTTCACGTGCTCCCATGATCATGCACTCATTTGTGCCTCAGTGTTGTACAGAGCAGTCATGAGCAAGCTGAACGGTGGTGAGTGGGCCTTTTAGGGAAACTTGAGTGCTGTACGGATGGATAGTTTAATGTTTCCTTTTAGGCTGAAAACACACAGTACCCAACTTGGCTCTTGAGATTTCTCCACTTCTCCTTTCCCTTGCTCAGGGACTTCCTGTCTCTGTGATTTTGAGTCTGTTAATTTGTGAACTTTGTCTGCTGGTTAGGATTTTATGTACAGACAGGTAGGTGTGGATTTTGGTTGGTAGTCTGCATCAGGAGTAACTGAAATTAATATGCTACTAAAACCATTCAGATTTCTAGCTCATTTGAAATGTCTTTAATTTTAACTTTTTTAGCTTTTATAACTCTTCAGGTGAAGTCAATGAGCACGCATTGAAGAAAATACTTTCAAGGGTTGAAAAGGTATCTCCTGATTTACTTTTTGTTGGTTTTATATCCGTTATTTTCAACTTCTAAGAACTGTACTTGACAGAACTTTTAGGCAGTGATTGTCTTCATGCTGGACCATAAAGCAGAAAAGAGACGGCTTGCTCTCACCGTTCAGGGAGTGTGCTAGAGGAAACAAAGGCAGGCGCGGAGAGCCTTCATCTTCCCTCCTTCCCTGGCGCCTTGATGAGGTGCCTGCCCCACAGCCTGGCCAGCAGGATTCACCCAGACTTACTCCCTTTGTGTGATACGGGGTGTCTGGCGTTGCTCAGGTGGGGTTTGAGCTCCTGGGCTTGCGGACCCCAGCCGGCCTCCCTGCAGTGGGGACTACAGGCCAGCACTCTGGGTGGCCAGGGCTTTTACAGAGCAGTTGGCAGGGCAAGTTTCCTGCCCAGCACTGAGCAGCAGCTCTCACAGGACAGCGGGGACTTGGCCAAAAGTGAGTGAATACTCCAGATGGATTTTCCTAACCCCAAAATCAGGTTTTTCAGAGTACCACTTTTCTCCTAAAACTTTTGTATCTGATCTGAAAATCAGATTTAATAAAAGAAGTGTTATTTTCCAAAATTTATTTTATTTTCCAGAATTCATTGAAAATGCTTGGAGTTCTTCACAGTTATATTTGGCTACTTAAAAAATGTACCTGTAAAGATGCCTTAATTTTTAAAAGCACAGAAGCAATTTTAATTTCTTCAGTTATTTATTTTTTTTGGTAGTGGGAATTGAACTCAGGACCTCACACTTGCCAGGCAGGCCCTGTGCCACTGAGCTAAATCCCCAGCCCCAATTTCTTCAGTTTAAATGTGCAAACATAAAATTGAGTTGCTGAATGCTATAAATATATAACTCCTCTGAATCAAAGTCATTATTTATAACTATGTTCCCATTAAATGGGTTTTTACAGTTTAAAATGATTTTGTAATGCTCATAACATAGTGTCACATTTACCAAAACCCTGCCATGTAATCTTACCAACACTGAAGCCAGCTCCCTGGGTGGATGGTGATCATTCCATTAAATTTCAGGTAAAAGCTGCAGGGAGCCGCCTAGCTCATTTAACAGACCGAATACGCATGCAGGAAATGAACTTGTTCCCAGGGGTGATGGCACTGGTATTTTTTCATGTAAATTTCCACTAAAAATGAAGGTGTCAGGGTAGCAAATGCCCTAAGACACCAGCATAAGTTATTTTTCTCCTTGAAATCTTTGTGTCAAAACTGTCGCCTTCCAACTGGATAAAAGCAGCCTAAGCGGCAGTCAGTTTGCTGACCTTGTAAGGCTGGTCACTCAGTGTAGTCTTTGCCCAGATCTTGCTATGGAGAAAGCCAGCTGATTAAGAAAGCTAACTATGAGCTGCGGAACTATGAGCACTGAGGTGCTCTTCTTTCTTTGTTTCTGTGTCTCAGAATGTGGTAGGTTGGTACAAGTTCCGCCGTCACACAGATCAAATCATGACATTTAGAGAGAGGCTGCTGCACAGAAACCTACAGAGGCGCCTCTCAAGTCAGGAGCTCGTGTTTCTCCTGCTGACGCCAAGTGTAGTGACGGAAAGCTGCTCCACGCACCGGCTGGAACACGCCTTGTACAAGCCACAGAGAGGGTGAGTTCTGTCCAGTGCTGGTACACCTAGACTTTACAGGACATTGGCTGCCCTCATGGCTTTCTCAGGGTCCCTGAGGTTGATCTTCCATCTGTTAACTATGAGTGCCAGCAGGAACCAGACAGGAGGCTTGAAGCCCATGTGGGGTGATGGCTTGTACCCTGTCCTAGAGCCAGAACCCAAGGCCTTCCCACTGAGCAGCAGCCCCAGCCCTGGTTTCATTTTCCAGGCTGAGCTGCCCAGACTGGTCTTGTATTGTGATCCTCCTGTTTCAGCCTCCCAGGTAGCTGGGATCGCCAGTGAACAACAGTTTGATGGGACCAGTGAAGGTTAATAGTTGTGATGGCACTCATAAGGCTTCAGATTTTGGGTTTCAAGTTTTTGGGCTAGGATATTCAACAAGAATGTTTGTGCCATTTTTTTGGGAATGATGCTGGGGAGCAAACCCAGGGCTGCCTGCATGCTAGACCATCTGCCCTCAAATGGGAGTCTCACTGTGTGCCCATACTGACCTGACATGAAGCTGTGCTGTCCTGCCTCAACCTCCCAGGTAGCTAGAGTATCTTAAATGTATATATACTCAATCAGTTAGTGAAAGTATTCTTTCATACAATTTTCTACTGTGTACATTTCACTTTTTTTTTTTTGGACTTTTTCAGACAGGGTTTGCTGTGTAGTTCAGGCTGGCCTCGAGCTCACAGTGATCATCCTGCCTTAGCCTCACTAGTGCTAGAATTATAGGCGTGTGCCACCATGCCTGGCTACATTTCACAATTTTTAAAAGCAAGTTGCTTCATGTCGCTAAATTTTACCTTGTAACTAGTAAGGATTTTTTTTTTTTTTAAATCGTGGGGAATGTATTCTGTTATATGATGTGCTCTTTATTTAAAAAGCTATACTTACACATTTGACTTCAGACTTTTTCACAGGATCCCTTTAGTAGTGGCCAACCTGGGCATGTCTGAGCAGCTGGGCTATAAAACTACATCAGGCTCCTGTGCGTCCCTGGGCTTTAGCAAGGCAGTGAGAACACACAGGTAAGGCTGACCAGCTGCTTTTCCACTGTGTGTGCTCTTGTGTTTGGGAACTGTCTTGTTCCACATGCAGAAAAAAAAAAAAAAAAAAGGAAAAATGATGAATACGTTAAGCAAACTAAACTGGTTTGTTTTTATTTCTTGGTTCTTTAAGACAGGGTCTTGCTATGCAGTTCAGGTTCGCCTCAAACTCACTTTGTAGTCTAGGCTGGTCTTGAACTCACAGTGATCCTCCTGCCTCAGCATCCTGAGTTCTAGGATGACAGGACACACCACCATTAGCACCCTCTTACTCTAAATTCTGGACATTTAGCTGAGGAAATTGTGTTTTACAGCTCTGAATTTTTTAAAGAAGATGGATCTTTAAAGGAGGTACATAAGATAAATGAGATGTATGCTTGTCTACAGGAAGAGTTGAAGGTGAGTTTACACTGAGCATTGAAGGTCACTGTATCACACTGATCATGATAAGGTCTTTGAGGCTCACTCTTATTTGTCAGGTCTGTGGCGTACTCCTTGAACTGCCGAAGAAAACTCTCTTGGGGCTCAGGGCAAAGCTCTAATCTGCCCACAGATCAGGCTGTGGCTTTGCCATTTTCCAGTGTTACCTGCGTTCCAGGATTTGGGCTGAAGAGCAATGCTTATCTGGAGCACATTTTTGTTTTTCATTTTGAGACAGTGTCTTGCTATGTAGCCCAGGCTGGCCTCCAAATGTGGTGATCCTCCAGCCTCAGCCTCCCAAGTGCTGGGGTTACAGGCATGCGCCACCAAGCCCAGCTTCGGTCACGTTCTTGTGGCAAGAGGAAAAGGCAAGAAGGCCGGCAGGAACGCACAGACTCTTAAATCTTAAGACTCCTGAGCAGCGTGAACTTGGCTTCGCTGGCCAAGACATAGCACCCGGCACTGGGCAGACGCAGACTCCTCTGCGGGCGAGGAGGGCACCAGGTGCTTGGCAGCTGCCCAGGTATCACAGTGGCCTCCGTGCGAGGTCCGGTCCCATCAGGAGGCCCACCAGGGTGGGGTCAGGAGCTCAAGAGGCTGGTGGGGCTGTGAAAGACAGAGAGGGAGTAGGACACGCAGCGGAGGGCGAGTGGGCCAGCCTGAGGGAACTGAGCGAGGCTGCCACTGTGCTGAGAACACCTGCCATTCACCTCTCTGCATTTCTGCACATGGTGCCAGTGTGCCCAACCTGCTGTCCCAGTGCCCAGGAAGCTGAAGCACGAGGATCCCAAGTCTGAGCTCAGCAGGGCCACTTGAGAGAATTAAAAGCCTCTGTCTCAGAATTCAAAAACAGGACTGCAGATGTGGATCACTGTGATCCACATCCTGGGTTCTGTGCCAGTACTGTCCAAAAAAAAAAAAAAAAAAAAAAAAAAATCCAGCATATTCTACTGTCAACGGTAGTCGCCAGTCTGTGGGCCTCTTGAGCTACTGCTCCTGCTCCACTGTGATGCATTTTTTTTGTTTGGTTTTGGGGTTTTTTTGTGTTGTTTTTTTTTTTTTTTTTTTTTGTCTTTTTCGTTTTTATCGGTACCGGGAATCGAACTCGCGACTGACTGCTTGCAGGGCAGGCACTTATGCCACTGAGCTAAATCCCCAGCCCTTGCTTTTGGTTTTTTGTGACATGGTCTCACTATGAAATCCAGGCTTTGATCTCACTATGGAGCCCTGGCTGGCCTCAAATTTGCAGCAATCCTCCTACCTCCGCCTCCCAAGTGCTGGGATTACAGGTGTGCATCACCACACCCGGTTAAATGTCTTATTTCTTATCAAGGAATTAACTAACTGCTGTGTAGAAATGAGAAGTTAAATATCTGAAAAGCATTGAGGTCCTCTAGAAATAGCACACTAAAATGAAAGGCAAGTAGTTCACAGGATATAGCACTGAGAATTTTATCTTATTTGGGAATCTAAACTTTTAGTGCAAAATTTGGGGTTTTTATCTGTGCCCTTGGATTATCTTGCAGGATGTATGTGAAAAGGTGGAAGGAAGTGAACGAGAAGTAGAGAAGCTAATGAAGGATGTAAACAGGTTAAAACAAGAAATTAAACAAAGGCAGCAAGCACAGATTGAAGCAGCACGTAAGTAAAGAGCTCACTCTACTCTCCATGCTTCCTTTGCTGATCTAAATTGTGAAGAGCCGAGCATGGCGGTGCACACCTGACATCCCAGCACTCAGGAGGCAGAGGCAGGAAGATTACTCTGAGTTGAGGCTAGCCTGGTCTTCATAGTGAAATGCTGTCACACACAAACAAACAAAAGTTATAGAAGAGCCAACTCTACTAACCAGTAAGTTTGTCCACCTTGGGGTTAAAAGTCATTGTAGCTGGGCTTGATGGTGCATGCCTGTAACCCCAGCATTTGGGAGGTTGAGGCAGGATTGCTGTGAGTTGAGGCCAGCCTGAGCTACATAGTGAATTCAAGGCCAATCTGAATTTGTTTCCTTCCCAAAAAAGTCGTTTTATTAATATTGGCTAGTCTCACTGAACAAAGAACACGGTTCTGTAGTAGATGTATTATTAATGCATAACTTAAATGTGACTTTCTTGTAGAATAGTGTAGCATGTGAACTGGGTGTGGTGCGCACACACAATTTTAGGACTCATGTTAGGCTTAGGCAGGAGGATCCTGAGTGAAGTCCAGCCTGGGCAACTTGGTTGGTGATTTTAGCAAGCCCCTTTCTCAAGAATAAAGATAAAAAGGGCTAGACATGCAGCTAAGTGCGAACGCCCTGAGTTCACTCCCGACAGTCGAGAAAGAAAGAGGGAAAGAAAGAGAAATTGTGGCACAGAAATAGGAATTGGGGTTTATGCATGTTGTTCATATTTTGGGCAGTTTTGTTGCTGAAATCTTTGTGTTGACAAATAGCTGATTATAGAAGCTTTGGAACACATACACTGAACTATGGCTTTGTTTCCTCCAGGTGAGCAGAATGTCCAAAAGGACCCTCAGGAGAATGTTTTTCTTTGCCAAGCTTTACAGACCTTCTTTCCAGATTGTGAATCTCTCCATTCTTGTGTGATCTCTTTGAAAACCAGAAAGATTTCTGAAAGCAGATGTGATGCCTCACACACTGTCGACGTGGCAGACAAGCTGACCTTGATGGTGGAGTATGCTCACTCCCCAGAAGCCAGCCCCACCAGGACCGCCGCGCAGGCGCCTAAGCGCAGAGCTGCAGGCCTGGAAGACCAACAGCAGCAGAAAAAGCTGCGGCTGGCGGAGCCAAGAAACAAGCTGTGTGAGACAGGTACTGAGAGCAGTAACGGAGAAAAGGCATCTGCAACAAGCAGCCCAGAAACAGAGGACGAGAGGGAAAGAACGCAGGGTGCTGACAAATATCCAGAATCCCCCACCTTTTAACCCTGGTGACCAGAGTGAAAGTGTTGACTGTGGAAGGGGTGAAGCTCAGCCACTCTCAGGAAGCCACAGCAAAGCCCACTTGCTTTGGCTACGTTCAGCTGCCCATGTGCTATCTGGTACGGTACTGGTTGTTACCTTGGTTGCCTGCTTACAATAATTCCTAAGTAAGTTCCACTGAACCTGTTCCATAAAGGACTTTTAAACATACGGATGCTTTGTTATTTATACTGTTGCAGTGCTAACCATTAAAGCTAGGCCAACCGCATTTCAGGAGAATGCTCTATCACTGAGCTGCATGCCCAGCCCAAGATGCTTCTATTTGAGAATCAAAACCTGCTTTTCTTTCTAAATTATGGAGGGAAAGACATTGTTTTAAACTGCAAAATATACTCATCAATTCACAACCAGAAAGGCATATGAAGTTTATATGAAAATGTGTTTTACCTAAGTCATGAAAACTCCTACCCCTTACGTGATCGTGAAGATTATTAAGCTGGGCGTGCTCACATGTCTGTCCTTACAGTCTCAGCTGCTGAGCAGGCTGAGGCAGAAAGACGCTTGGGCTCAGGAGTTTAAAGCCAACCCGGCAGCACATTAAGACCCGGTCTCAAAAAAAAACATGTTCTGGCTAGGGATGCCAGTGAGAATGCTGGCTACCATGCAGCATTTGAGACATTCTTACACTGAAAAATAATCTGAAATTCAAATTTAGTTGAGTTCCTGGGTTCCACTTGCTAGGTCCAGCAACCCTAATTACAGCGCAGCTGTCCAGCAGCACACCACCATCTCTCCCCAGTGTCCTCTGCACAAGACTGAGTCAAGTTTTGGATACAGTAAGAACCTGGCAACCCAATGTTTGGGATAGCAGTTGGTCAAGTAGGTGCAGTAGGAATCACAAACTATGTCTGTGTAAGTGTGTGTATGGGCAGGCCTATCATAAGCTTTTATTTTTCTGTTTGGTTTCTGAGACAGTGTCTCACTATGTAGTGCAGGCTGGCCGAACCCGAACCCTAACCCTAATTCATTGGTTCTGCAGAGCTTAGCGGGGTGGGGGTTGGGAGAGTCCTGCCCATCAGTGTGGTCTCCAGAGTAGACATCATGGCCCAGGTTACCCTGCGGGTGTTGGCTAAGGTAGCTTTTCCCAGGCGGGCGCAGTACTTCATCCTAACTACTTGGTGGTTGGCAGGAAGGTCACTTGAGCCCAGGCCTGGAGGGCGGCCTAGGCACTACAGTAAGACCCCATCTCAGAAGATAAGAACAAGGGCACTGGGCTTGTGCTGTAATATGCACATACATGTGTTCTTTACATACAATAGTACACATGTCACTGGGTACCCTGCCATGTTTCACTCCTGGACAGCGTGCTGACTATACACCATGAACTCTGCTCTTCATCAGTTAGTGTTAAAAGAAATCGCTAGATAAAAGTCAGGTGTGGTGGCACATGCCTGTAATCCTAGCACTCAGGAGGCTGAGGCTGGAGGATCACCACAAGTTTGAGGCCGTCCAATGAAACCCTGGCTCAATAACAACAAAAAAATTTACTGGATAGAGATTATGTTCAGTAACAAATGTTACTCTTCTGTACTCATATGCATTAATTATAGGGTGTTTTTGTAAAGTCAGTATCTAGGATTGTCTGTGCGAACTGCTGGGGTTGATCAGTCTGGACACTATCAGTACCACTGCCATGAGAAGACGATCGAGAGCGTCTCCACCATATGTGTACATACATACACCTCCCCCTACGAGTCTAAGGATAATCTTCCACATGGATAACAAACTAAACTGGCAGAGTAAAGACCAGCAGCTCAGTGCAAAGAAAGAAAGATCTCTGGGAATTAGAAGGTGCTGACAGGAAGACTAGAAACTGGAGAAGCTGGAACAACAGCACAGCTAGAGCTGGACAAGAAACTCAGCACAGTCCCCACACGGGAAGCTTTAACCAGGAGCCACTGCAGGAGGGCGTTAACTGCTTACAACGGAGGCGCAGAACTACCCACTGTCCTTGGGGTCTCTGGTATCACCTGCCAGGGACTGGGTGGGTGATGGCCATAAGAGACAGCACAGGAGAGGGTGTGGGCTAGACACAGATCCTAGGAAGTCTGAGCTCCGGCCAGGGAGAACATGGGGTGGGGGCGCCTCAGGGTGAGAGGCAGACATGGCGTGTGTGGCTTCCAGAGGACTAGGAGTGAAGGCACTGTGACCTGACAGTGGCCTGCTTGCAGCCTGGCCCCGATGCCCACATCCAGCACAGAGCTCAGCCGTCTGTTCACTTTATCCATCTGATCACATGAGCAAGCCCACATCCAAAGCATGTGGGCAGTGGGGCCTCTGAAGAGGGCTCGAACACACAGGCAAGAAAAACTAGACAGAGAAAGCTGCGATATGGGGTGCACAAAGCAGGAGCACCTAAGCTGACTACAGCCATAGGGCAGACACCACAGACAACCATAGCCAGCGGTGGACTCATAGCAGCACTCAGCACCCCAACTTTATCAAACAGACACTTGTAGACATAAAAGATCAGATAAACATCAGTACAGCTGTAGTGGGTGACTCAATACCCCACAGTCACAAGTAGACAACTAAACAAAAAGTCAACAGAGAAATAGAATTCAACCCAATCCCTGAAGAGCCAGACTTCACAGATGCCTTCGGAATGTTCTGCTCAACAGCAGAATACACATTCTTCTCAGCAGCAGAGACTATGAAGCATGCTGAACTGTCGTCAGATCTTGGACTGCGAGCACTTTGGTCCATAAGTGTGCTGCAAGATGAGCATACATTTCTAAAACTCAACTTGATAAATGATAAATGAGGGAGGTCTTGCAGTATGAGTAGCACGTCACACCAAGTGTCACATGATCACAACTGCTGCTTCTCATTCTCATGCTGCCTTGATACATAACTCCTTGGGATTACGTGCAGTATAAATTATTCTCACAGACCAGCATATCTGTAAGTGTAAAATAATCAAAATTATCCCATGCATATTACCAGATCGTAATATAATTAAACTAGAAATCAACAGAAAAACAGCCAATGCTAGTACAAAAAAGAAAATAATAAAAATCAAATTAATAAACAGACTAAAAGAACAATACAAAGAATCAACAAACTGAAGAGCTGGTGCATTCAAATAAACAAAATGGATAAACAGCCAATCTTACAAGAGGAAAAAGTCAAATTCTAAATCAAAGCAATTAGAAATTAAAAAGGTAAAATCGCAACAGTTACTACTCGAAATCCAGAAGATTAGTTACTACTTTGAAAACCTGTACTCCAGAAAATTAGAGAATCCAGAAGAAATGCACAAACTGGCCACTGTGCTGCATGCTTGTAATCCCAGCACTTGAGAGGCTGAGACAAGGATTGCTTTGAGTATGAGGCCAGCCTGAACTGCAGAGTGAGTTCAAGGCCATCCTGAACTGCATAGGGAGATCCTGTCTCCAAACAAACAAGAATTAGCCAAATGGGACCAAGAAGATACAAAACCCTCAATAATTCAATAATAGGCAATGAAATTGAAACAGTAATTAAAAAAAAAAAACCCTATCAACTAAAAAAATGCCCAGGATATGATGGATTAGAGGGGACTGAGATAGGGCTTTGTATAGTTTGGCTGGTCTTGAACTTACTTTGTAGCCCACGCTGTCCTTAAACTTGCAATAATCCTCCTGCCTCAGCCTCCCAAGTGCTGGGATAACAGTCATGCACCACCACATCTGGTTCCGGACACTATGGATTTACTGCTGAATTCTACAAGAACTTCAGGGTCCATCTAAGGACGAGTTTCCTCAAACTCTTTAATGAACTGAAAGGGAAGAAGTACTCTCAAAGCCATTCCTTAGAGCTAGCATTACTCTGATTCCAAAACCAAAGAAGGACCAAATGAAAAAAGAAACTATAGATTAATCTCTTTAGTGAATATACAAGCAAAAATCCTCCCCAAGATATTGGTAAACAGAATGAAGCACACCAAAAAGATCATACATCATAAAACAGCTGGGTTTCATTCCAGGCATGCAAGGATGGCTCAATCTGTAAATCAAATGCAATTCATCACATAAACAGAAACAAGGACAAAAGTCACATGATGATCTTAACAGATGTAGAAAAAAGCCTACATCTGTTCACAAATGCAAGACCAATTCATAATAAAGACTCTAAAGAAAGGTATAGAAGGACCTTAGCAGGTGGTACTGGGAAGCTGGTTGTGTGCAGCTAGACCCAGATTTCTCACTGTGTACTAAACCAAGGTTGAAAGGGATCAGAGACCTAAATGATAAAACAAAGCCAGGTGGGTACATGCCTGTAATCCAAGCACTCAGAGCAGAGGTTTAGGCCTCAAATTATCCACCAAGACTCTGTCAAAAACAAAAACAAAACAGAAACAGACAAAACTGATAAAACTTTTGAAGATACAGGTATAGGCAAAGACTTTCTGAACAGAACTCGAATTGCACAAGAAATAGTACCACAACTCAACAAATGAGACAAAGTCAAATTAAAAAGTTTCTCGCTAAATCTGCTGGAAGACAGAATAGGTAAAACTCTTAAATACACAGGTGCAGGCAAAGACTTTATGAACAAAACCCAGTCGCACAGGAAATATCAAAGAAACAACTGGCATCTTGTCTTTTTTGGGGTGGGGAGGGGGGTGTACCAGAGATTGAACTTGTGACCTCTCACTTGCCAGGCAGGTGCTTGTGCCCTGGCCCCTGGGATCTCATCTCACTAAAAAGTTTTTGCATAGCAAAAGAAACCATCAGCAGAGAAGCAATGACTCACAGAGTGGGAAAAAAATTTTGCCAACTGTTCCTCAAAGTGTCAATATCTAGAATATATAAAGAACTAAAAAAAAAAAAAAAAAATCAAACCTCCCCAAAATTTAAAGACCCAATCCAAAAATGGGCATCTGAAATGAACATGCAAGGGCCCAGATACAGCTCAGCAGCACAAGTGCCTTCCTGGCAACTGCAATGTCTTAAGTTTGACAGTCAGTATCAAAAAAAAAATAAAAAAGTGAAATGAATATGTCTTTCTCAGATGAAGAAGTAAGAATGGCAAATAAATGTAAGAAAAATGTTAAATCTTACTGGTCATTCAAGAGGTGCCAACTAAAACAACACTGAGATTCTATCTCACCCTAGAAAGAATGACTCTCATCAAGAAATCAACTGATAACAAACACTGATGGGGCTGTGGGGCAAAAGGAGCCTTTCCCCACTGTTGGTGGGAGTGCAACCTGGTGTAACCACTGTATGGAGATCCCAAAAAAACATAAAACTAGAGATCTCATTCAACCCACCTATTCTGCTTCATGGGATCTTCCCAAATTAAAAGCATCATACTTTAGTGATGTATGTGCATCCATGTTTATAGCAGCACAATTCGTAAAGGTGAAGTCTTGGAAACAGCCCAAATGCCCATCAATCAATGAACAGATGAAGAGAATGTTTTTTTTCATATAATGGAATACTACTCAGCCATAAAGAAGGATAAACACGAGACATTTCTAGGTAAATAGATGCACCTTGAGACCATACTCTTAAGTGAAATAAATCAGACACATGTTTATTATTATTTTTTAGGGTGAGTACCTGGAATCAAACTCAGGACCTTGTGCTTGTCAGGCAGGCACTTATGCCACTGAGCTAAGCCCCCAGCTTCCAGACACACAGTTAAAGATCACATAGTTTTTCTGGTGTGAGAAGCCAAAAGTATAAATAAGGACTGAAATGTATAGTAGATATTGAGAAATGAAAAGAAAATGTTCAAATGGGAAGGAGAACTAAGGAGGAGTGAGGGGGAAAGGACAGGAAAGGAAAAAAGTAGAAGAAAAAATGCAAACAAAGCTTTTGTAAATAAGGGAAAGAGGAGTTGAAGGGAGAAGAGGGAAATGGGAAAAGAAGCAATATATATCATGCAGAAGTATAAATTCCCTTTGATGACTGTGATCATTATATATATATATATATATATATATATATATATACACACACACACACACACACACCAATAAAGTGAAGAAACAACCTATACAGAAGGAAAAAAATTTTACCAGGTACTCCTTGGACAGAAGACTAGGCACATGCCTGTAATCCCAGCACTTGGGAGGCTGAGGGAGGAGGACTGCTGCAAGTAAAAGGCCAGCTTGAATGGCATAGCAAAACCTTGTCTCAAAAACAACAACAACAACAACAACAAAACCAAAGCCACAAAAACTCAAAACTCAAGAACATATTTGCCAAAACAAGAGACCCAACCAGAAATTGGGCAAGTGAAACAGATACTTCCCAAGAAATGCAAATGCACAATAATTATATGGAAAAACGTTCAACATGTCTGGACATTATTAGATTGCACCTTACTCTAGAAACAACAGCTGTCATTAATAAATCAAATAACAAATACTGAGAGACTGCAGAGAAAAATAACCCTTCTACCTTGCTGGTGAGAATACAAACTATTACAATGACTATGGAAATAAGTATGGATATTCTGCAAAAAGCTAAAACAAGCAGGCCTGGTACACACACCTATCATCTCAAAGTGAGTTCAAGGCCAGCACTTGGGACACTGAGGCAGCAGAGAGGTCAAGGCCACCTGAACTACACAGTGAGTCTGTCTGAAACAAACAACCACTAGAACAAGAAACCTGTTTGAAGGATAAGTCAATACATATCAGTTATAACCATTGTATCAGTTATAACCATCAATGTCAGTGGTCTCAATTCACCGATCAAACAAGAAAGACTGGCAGAATGGGTCAAGGAGCAAGATCCAACAATATGCTGCATACAAGAAACACATGTAATTAAAAAAAAAAAAAAAAAGCAGGCCGTAGCTATTCTATTTGCAGACTAAGTGAATGTCAAGCCAAGACTGATTAAGAGAGATAAAGAAGATCACTATATCCTCATAAAAGGAACAATCCAAGAGGAAGAGATAACAATCATAATTATACATGAAACAAGTACCAGTGCACCCAGCTATATAAAACAATTACTAATGGACATGAAAAATCCAGTAAGCCCTAATACAATTGTATTGGGAGACCATATTGTTAAGTAAAATAAGCACATAATAAGCTTAAATATTACATGGCTTGTCTCATATGCAAAACCAAATAAATTAAAGGATAATATAAGCAATAGAAAACAGGTGTGGTAGTGCACCCCTGTAATCCCAGCACTTAAAATGCTGTGAGTTGGAGTCTAGCATGAGCTATAAAGTGAGTTCAAGGCCAGCCTGAACTGCACAGTGAAACTCCCTCTCAAAAAAGACAAGGGGCGGGGGCTGCAGATTTAGCTTAGAGGCATAAGTGCCTGCCTGACAAGCACAAGGTCATGAGTTCAATCCCCATACCAAAAGAAAAACAAAACAAAACAAAAAAACACTATTGAAAAATACAAAAAAAAAAAAAAAAAATGCAACAGAAAGGGCCCAGGATCTAGCTCTACCTGGTAAGTATGACATCATGAGTTTGATCCCCATTACCAAAAAACAAAACACTAGCAATGATGAGGCAGATCTTTTAGAAAGGGAAAGGAACCAAGAGATTGCGGGAGGGGAGAGAAGGGGGTGAGAAGGGTTAAGAGATGTGTATGTCCACGCACAACTCCCCTAATAAGTCATTATGGGACTACATATGTACTACAAACGTGGACTAATAAAAATTTTAAAAACTGTTGAAGGGGAACTCACCTAGGAATGCTTTGTCCTCTGTGACAGCCCGCTGCTCATCCCTGTGCACCCCTGCCAAGAAAGGGCCTATGCTCTCGACCAGCTATGCCTGTGCCAGTCAGCAGCTCTAACTCCGCAGTCAGTCACGGGATTGCATCATAAGCATTCCTGTCTTGCACTCATTTCCCTAAATGCGCCACTTTTAAAGACACAACTGGGCCCTAACACAGAACTGTTCCACAAGTCATTCCCTCCATATTTCCTAGCCCAGTGTCATTGAAAACCACTACAGGAATGAACTACGGCAAAAAGATACAGCGCATTTATACAGGACAATTATACAGCACCACTTTTATTCTGGGCATGAACAATGTACTAAGTATTAACATTTCAAGTACACAATTAATGAACATTCAATGGAACCAGCAGAAGCTTGAGTCTTGAAACACTTTCTACCCAAAGGTTAGTATACTTCAGTGACAGCATGCAACCACTTATAAAGTAAGTTACTGGTAATAACTTCATGAGATTTATTCCCGATATTTGATGTTGCAAACTTTAGGGTCTTTGAGATATGCAGGATCCTTGTGCGTAACTGGCATAAATCCTGTAAAGAGATAAAGTTCTTCACAACAGATAATGAGAAAATATTGACTAGTACAATTCAGTGATTCAAGCATGCTTGCTTACCCATTACTTGAGCTCTCTTAATTGCTTTTGAAATTTCTTTCTGTTTTTTCCCACAAAGACCTATAAAAATTTTTATAAAAAATGCCAATATTTAAAACGATTTTCTAAAAAAAGTTTTCTAAGTCAAAGGCTGATAAGTTCTTTTCTGTAAAGGACAGGAGTCATAAACATTTTGGTTTTTATAGGCAATATAGGCTCTATCAGAACTATACTCAAATCTGATATTTTTATCTCAAAACCATGTGGCAATAGGTAAGCAAATTTACAAAAACAAGTGGCAGGCTGAATCTCGGCTACATATGGGGCATAGTTTGCCAGCACTAAAGTGTAGCCATGCAGGAATGATTACAGAATACTTAACAATATCAAGCACATCATTTTCTTAAGCTCAATTTTCTGTATGCTGTCAGCCTGCACTTAACACTGGGCAGAAGGAAACATACAGAATTATAATCCTTTAGGTCTAAGCAGCTTTCTCTAAGTACTTAACTCCAGTCCTCATAGCACCTGTCATGCAACATCTAAATATGACTTACAGCACAATTTAAACGCTTGTCACTTTCCTTTAATGACAGAAATAACGCAATTGTCACCTACATTTAAATAGCAGTGATTTTAGAAATACCTGTTATATGCCTCCCATGAATACAGCCGGTATATGCAGAAATAAACTGGGACAAAAGCTGTTTATGAGATTTAGAGGAAAAAAAATTATTAATTCATGTTACTCAGTCCTGATGTAAAAAAAAAATTGGGGGCGGGGGGTACCAGGAACAAACTCCTGACCGAGCGCTTGGCAGGCAGGTGCTTATGCCACTGAGCTAAATCCCCAGCCCGCTGAATATAAATTCAAAAAACGAAAACAAAAAACAAACAAACAAAAAAAACTTACACATGACCTTCAAGTTACATAAATATTTAAATCAGTTTCAGACAAATTTAATGAGATAAAAATAACCTTAGCAAGTCAGTTTCTAAGTAACAAAAGTTAACATCTATGCAGTGTGTCAAAAAAGTCTATTAACAGATTAATCAGCATAATCATTCAGAGTTACAGCTGCTTCCTTGACTTTTCCACAGCTGTTTTTTTAACACAGTGCAGCTCCTAACAAGGCACAAAACGTTTCACCTACCATGGCAGCCTGTCGTATCACCATGTGGCTGAGCTACCAGTGTAATGAGCCTTTAAGACACACCCATATGAGTCCTGGGACATTTACTGTAACTAGTTCCATTATTTAAATGCTTTAGCACTTTCTAGATGCCAGGCACTGTTCTTGGCACTTTGCACAATCCTCCAACTATGTGGAGTTTTTTGGTCTTTTTGAGACAGGGTTTCACTGTGCAGTTCCGGCTGGCCTTGAACTCACTTTGTAGCCCAGGCTGGCCTCAAACTCACCTCCTGTCTCAGCCTCCTGAATGCTGGTATCACAGGCATGATCCACCACACCCAGCCTTTCCTACTGTGTTCTATTTCTATAATTCCTAGTTTTTCTCCATCAGTGTCACTTTATACTCCTCTCAGTATACGAACACCAGCACCACTCACTCCATGGAATCTGCCACTTTAATTTGCTGACTGCCAGATGAGAGATCTGCAGCGGTGGCAAGGATGAGGAGGAACAGGAGCTGTTTCCACACTGCCCATGCTCATCACCCCAGAAAGGGGAACCCCTGTGAGGACCCTGAGGTGAACAAATGGGGGAAAGACTGAGCTAAGACAGCAGTAAGTACGGGCGAGCCAGAGCTTCTGGTGGAAGGAGGGCACCTTACATACAGAAGTACAACCAGATTTAAAGGCAGGAAGTTGCAAAAGTTGCCCATACAGGAAGCTCGCTATAAAACTTACACTGTTCTTTTTTTTTTTTTTGAGACAAGATCTCACTATGTAGCCCACGCTGGCCTGGAATTTACAGTGTGATCCTCCTGCCTTAGCCTCCTGAGTGCAGGGATTATAGGTGTCGCCTCTACCCCTGCTTACATTATTCTTGGTTAGCAAGACTAACAAAGAGCAACACCCTAAAACAGAGTACCAGAGGGGAGCAGAACCAGTTCTCACCTGCACATTCTTATAATCAACACGTTTCCCACACAAGATACACTTCTTAAGAGGTTCCTTATAAGGGTTTTCCATTGTAGTAGGCTAGGATAAAGAAGAAAAGTATGATTATAGTGTTAACTTTCAGTTTTTATAAATTAAATCATAAGCTGGGCGTGGTGGCTCATGCCTGTAATCCCAGCACTCGAGAGGCTGAGGCAGGAGGATCATTGCAAGTTTGAGACCAGCTTAGGCTACAAAGTGTGTTCAAGGCCAGCCTAAACTGCATAGCGTGAGACCATGTCTCAAAAAAGACAAAAAAAATTAAATCATAGAGTTGGGCACAGTGGCTCATACCTGTAATCCCAAGACTTAGGGGGCCAAGGCAGGGGGATTGCTGTGAGTTCAAGGGCAGCCTGGGCTACAAAGTGCTCAAGGCCAGCCTGAACTACATATTGAGACTTTGTCTCAAAAAGACTAATTAATTAATTAATTCCACTAAAATTCACCCCAGACCACACAATACCTTCCTTACACTATTACATATTTTATACAACCACTTTATTTTGCGTTACTTTGGTTAAGGAGTATTAATCTTTTAAGAAGGTTTAATGGAGAAAAAATTCAAATTAGAATTTTCTGTTCAAATTCTTCACTAATCTCAGACTGTAGATGAGTACAAATTTTGCAATTCATTTCAAGTTAATATAGCTGGGCATGGTGGTGCACCTCTATAATCCCAGCATTCAGGAGGCTAAGACGAGAACAGCTACACGTTTGAGGCCAGCCTGGGCTCCATAGTATGTTCAAGGCCAGCCTGAACTATATCCTGACACATCCTATTTTACCAAAAGAAAAAGGTCATTTAATCTTATGAAAAACTTTTAAACACCACGGCATTTCTAGGTTAGTACAATCACTTAACACTGTAGTTTACTCACCCCATTTTTTTTATTTATTCTTTGGTTTTTTGAGACAGGATCTCGCTGTGTAGTTTAGGCTGATCTTGAACTCAACACATGGCCCAGGGTGGCCTTGAACTGCCAAGTGATCCTCCTGCATCGTCCCAAGTGCTGGCTGGGACAGGTGTGCACCACCACGCCTGGATTTTTTTTTTTTTTTTGAGACAGGGTCTTGCCATGCAGCACAGGCTGGCCCTGAGCTCAGCAGTCCTCATGCCTCAGACTCCTAAGTAAGCGCTGGGCTCACAGGCTGCATCACCACAATTAGCTCCTCTTTTTCTTTCAGGGTGTCTCATCACTGTTTTTATTTTACAAACAGATAATCCCCCACGGTTTACAGAAATAAAGGATTCTTTTAATTCAATTTTATGGCCCCAGACTACTCTTGAAGCTTAGATTTTTTTTTTTTTTTTGGTAGCACTGGAGATTGAACCCAGGATTTTCACACTGATGTACATCTCCAGATTCTTAAAACAACTTTTATTAGTGAGACAGAATCTAAGTTGCCCAGGCTGGGCTCAAAGTTTTAATCCTCTTGCCTCAGCCTCCCAGACTATACAGGTGTATGTCACCATGCCTCACTGGTGTACAAGACGGTACTGGCCTTTTCGGGTTCTTCAGCTTCCTTACTGCTTCATTTCATCATGAGGCCTCTCTACTCAGGTCAGAGAAGAGATATTTCTTGTTTGTTTTGTGGTACTGGGAATTGAACCCAGGGCCTCCAGCATGCTAGAGTAGCACTCAACTCCTCCCAGCCCTAGAGTTTCCAACTGAGTAGTGGTTTTAAAGTGCATTATTCTCTGTAATTGTACCCACAGTTTCAAGGGACTATGTCTGTCTTTTTCTGTCAAAAGTATCCATAGCTTTCTTTAAGAGTCTTAGTGGGACTGCTGGGCTTGGGGCACACTTGGGAGGCTGAAGTAGGAGGATCACAAGTTTGAGGCCAGCCTGGGCTACACAGTGAGTTCAAGGCCTGCCTGAACTGCATAGTGAGACCTTGTCTCAAAAAGATAAAAAAACAAGAGTGTCAGGGAGATTTATGATCTGACAAAGAGTATCCCACAGGTAAGGCATATATCTAGATGTCCCCCCAAAGTCCTGGTGGTGCTGTTGGGTGTGGTGTGATCACAGCATGTGATACTGGATTAGAGTATATAATGGTCCACTGATTGGTTTATCACAATTCTAAGTGTGGCTCACAGGAAGGCCCACCCTGAGTGTGGGGCGCACCAACCCACAGGCTTGCAGTCTAGATGGACTGAAAGGGAAGCAGTGGCTGCTGCTCACTGCTTCCTGCTTGCCATGCCATGGACTGTTTTTGCTCTGTGACGCCCTGTCATGCTGCCCTTCCTTGGAGCCAGTCATCTATGAACTACAACCTCTACAAACTGTAGGCTGACATAAACCTTCTTTTTAAACCTGTGTTGGATATTTTGTCCCAGCAATGAGATAAATAGCTAAGACACCCTCCTTTATTTTCCCTAAAGTCGGGTATGTAAATTAGATGACCAAGATAAAAACATAGAGGAATGAAACCATATGCAGCCCAGAAAGATAGAAAAGCCAGTTCACCCTTTCTGTGAGTCAGCAGAAGCCATGCTGGGTCTGGGAAGAGTACAACAAGAAGCCATAGCCAGGCGTGGTGGTACATGCCCACAATCCAAGCGCTCAGGGGGCTAAGGCAGGAGGATCGCTATGAGTTCCAGACCAGCCTGGGCTACAAAATGAGCTCAAGGGTAGCTTTAACTGCATAGTGAGACCAGGTCTCAAAAAGTAAAAAAAAAAAAAAAAAAAAAAAAAAAACAGTCTGAGCCTAAGCACCTGCCTGGCAAGCCTGAGGTTGTAAGTTCCAAAAATAAATAAATAAATAGATAAATAAATACAACTTAAAAAATTTTTAAGAGCCAAAAAAATAGCCAATTTGATTCGCCTTTCCTGTAAGCTGTGCAAACCATGAGGGGGCCAGGAAACAAGTTAATTTCCCTTTCTCATGAACTGTACAAATCATACAGGGCCTAGGAAGAGAAATAAGCCAATTCATCCTTCCCATGAGTTGACAGAAGCCATGCTGCATCTGGGAGGAGTACAAAAAGCCAATTCACCCTTCCTGTAAGCTGACCAGCGTGCAGGCTGAGAATCAAGAACACTGCACCTTCCCTACAGCCCCAAGCAACCAGCTGATTCAGAGGACAGGCTGAGTAACTTAATGCTTGTATTGTTTGTTTGACTCTGCAGGCCTAAGGCTGGTAGTCCGAGAATATTTTAAGTGATAACACCATGCAATATAGGAAAAATGGGGGGCTTCTTTCCATCTTGTTTTTGAAATCCAATATTGTTCTGTTTTGTTCCATTTATTATTTTGTTTTATTCAATGTTATGTTTTGACTGGTTTTATTCTGTTTTATTTGATTTGATTTTACCATGTCTGATGGTATGGATAACTATTTTGAAGATAAAATATATTAAGGTAGCCACTGTTAATTTCCTATTATCCTGTTTTAAAGTTTTGTATCAATTTCACTTATTTTGATTTGCCTTATTCTGTTTTATTGTGTTAGATTTTATTCTTTTTAAGATTTTCTTCTTTTAGAAAAAATTTTTTTTCTCTTTTTCCTTTTAAATAAAATTTTAAAAAAAGAAAGAAAAAAATAAGAAAACATAGAGGAACTAGAGAAGTTCTTTTGTCTTTTTTGGTACCAGGGATCAAACTCTCAGTCTCGTGCTTGCCAGGGAGGTGCTTACATCGCTGAGCTAAATTCTGAGCCCCCAATCTCTTTTGTCTTTTTTCAGTTCCTCAAATTTTCTTAATTTGATTTATATTCAGCCAACATATACTGACTGAACACCATGCTAAGTGCTTTGTGTGGTATGACCAGTGTTAAATTAATTTTGCATGTAATAAAAAAAAACCTATGCTGCCCAAAGCCATTCCAGTACTTTAAACCCATCAAAATACACTTTTAGGTTAGAGGAAACCGTATTAAACATCCTGGTGTGAAACTAATTTTGACCTCTTAGTAAGATAGCTCACCAATAGTAATGACTGAGACAAACGCAGGAAAATACCTTTGTTCAGTTATCTACAGTTATTCTATGGATTCAAACTACACTTTGAAGTTCCCAAATCACAAATATCTAGGAAGAAAAATATGGTATTACAGATGCCACACTTCTTTCTAGGAGTACAGAAATTCTCTTACTTCAAAATTTAAGTTACTATAATCAGTGATAATTTCTACACTCAAGAGTAGTAATTTTGTTCTTATAGTTGAAGACCAAGTAGCTGACATACAAGAATTTGGTCATGGCTGGGTGTGGTATTGTATGCCTATAATCCCCGTACTTGGGAGACTGAGGCAGGAGGATCACTGCAAATTTGAGACCTGCATGGGCTACAAAGTGAGCTCAAGGCCAGCCTGAAATGCATAGTGATACCCTGTCTCAAGAAAAAAAAAAAAAAAATAGAATTCAGTCATATTTTCAAATACCTCATAAGAAAAAAATAATTCTTACCAGGTTTTCATCGCTGGTTACTTGTTTGTACTGTGAACAACCTCTTCTCCATAGCACTGCAATTAAACAGCAATAAACCAATTATTTGGTGAGAAGCTAATGAAGATTTTTGTTTTTATGGAGACAAAATGAAAGGAGTCACAATATAAAATAACAATTTTATATCCTTTACACTCACAATTGGTTAACAAGCTTTAATTTAGACTTGGGACAGAGTAAGATTAGCTAATTCCAAAGAGCATATATTTTCCCACTCATAAAACTTTTCACCTGCTCTCCTGACATTTACTTTCCCTTCATTCCATACAGACAGGTAGTCTGGTTGTTTTGTGGCAGAGATTGAAATAAGGCCTCAGGCTACAAGCCACAGTAAACTACATCCTTACCCTTTTTATTTTTTGAGAGTCTTGCTAAACTGCTCGCTCTGGTCTTGAACTCCTGTTTCTCCCAATAGTTTTGGATTACAGGCTCGCGCCATCACACCCATTGAGACAAACTTTAATGCAAACAGGCACTGAAGAAGCAACCCATGGTCTCTGTTTTACCACAGTAAAGATGAGTAACATACTCTCTCCAGAGAGCAGTTACTGTTGGAGAAGCAGATAAGATAAAAATTGCAGGAATTACAGGGATGAGGGTCTGTGTCTCAGTTTAGTTCTGATCCGGGACTTTGGAAATACGTAATTTACAGCTGGATTATATCCGTCTTGCCACGTTTAGAAAATCCCTGTTTTTTTTTAAAGCCATTCTATCCACCTCTTTCAAAGTTTAAAATTTGAAAAGAGCTGTTCATTTCACATCCCCCTTCACTAGTAGTCATCAGTCATTACAGAGTCCCACTCTTCTTGGAGAAATCCAATTGCCTAGAAACCGACCACTAGGGCCACGCCAACAGCTGCAGTGCCATCATGGACACCTTACCCCTGTGAGTTCCAGGATCTGTGAGGCCTACAGCAGACGTGACCCAGTGTGTCAACTTCTTCCTCCCTAGACCACTGCAAACAGTGACCACGGCAGCCATGGTTTCCGGCCCTCCCGCTTCCTTTCCTTTCTCTAAATCCTCCGGCGGGTCCCTTCCGGTACACTCCTCCGCACAACCTCGTACTCCACTCAAAGGTTCCGTGGGCGGACGCAGGACGCGCGCTGAAGAGTAAGTGACGTTTCCAACCCGCGTGCGCAGCACCTCTGGGTTCCCGCTCTCCGGGTGAGTGGTGTCACGTGACAAGGTGGGCCCGAAAAGGGCGAGCCCCTGCGGTGGCGCCCTTGCTTCCGATCCGGGAGCCCGCGGGATGATTTGATGCGGATGGAGAGTCGGGTGCAGTTTCTTCCCGTCGCTGCCTGAGCAGCGCCAGTCACGCTCCCCAGCCTTTGAATTTGGCGGCTGGAACTCCGGACGCCATGGAGGAGGGCGCGTCCCGCATCCGCCGGCGGGTGTCTGCCCGCAAGAGGACCCGGCCGGGTTTGGCGAGCGCGTGTGCTGCCCCCGCCGAGGGCGAGCGCGCGCCGGGGAAGGACGACGAGGGGGCGCGGGGCCGGCGGCGAAAGATCGCGCAGCCGTCAGAGGTACAGCCGGCGGGCAGCCCGGGCCAGGGACACGCCCGCCCCTTCCGACGTCGCAGCGGGCCGCGGGGCGGGAGACCCAGTGCAGGGCGCGCGGAGCTGCGGGGCTGGTGGCCTCCTTAAGGTGGCGGCGGCTCGCTGTTTCTCTCCCGCCGCGGCCGCTGCGGGGCGGCATTGCTGAGGTGCTGCCCGGTCCCAAATGGGAAGCGTGGACTGCAGCACCTACGTTAGTGACAGCGCCTCCGATGTTGCTGCGCTTCCTGCTTTGAAATGCGCTCTCTGAACACTGGTCGCCGTGTGAAGCCAGCTGTGTGACCTGGTCTTACTGCAGTGGTGCAGTGGGAGTGCTGACTCAGAATTCTGTGTTCTTAATGGCATCACTGTGCTGCAGTCCCTCGGTTTAGTAGCTCAGCCCAGGTCGGAGTGCGCGCTCTGTATCTTAGCTTCAGATTGAGAATAGTTTCCTTGTAGGATCTGGTAGTACAACATAGTTCTGTTACAGGCCAGGCTTACTTTTATTTATTAGTGCACCATTGACTCTTCCTCCTTTCCGGCGCCTTCCGACTCTTGGTCCGGTTCCCATTTGCAAAAACTTTATTTTCATCATTTTTCTTTTTTTGATCCATCCCCTTGTTTCCTCCTTCATCCAGCTCTTGTTCTCCCATCTGTTTGAAAAAGAGCTCCCTACTTTCTATATATAATCTATTTTGCATTCTCTCTCAAAGCACATTACAAGTGATAGTGATAGACGTCTACTGAGATGTTAGCTCTGTGAGAGAGACAGTATTTTATACTTCTTTTTTTTTTTTTTTTTTTTTTGAGACAAGGTCTCGCTGTGTAATTCAGGCTGGCCTTGAGCCCATTAGCAGTGGGCCTTCTGCTCAGCCTCCCAAGTTGTGGGATTACTGATGTGCACCACCATATTTTTAAGTTTCTTGTATAAGAGAAACCATGAGATATTACAGGTAGTATGTCTGACTTACTTCATTTAGTATTATGATCTTACGTTGCATCTGTTCACCCATGAATGCCTCAAGTTTATTTTTATGCCAGAATAGTACTCCATTGTGCATAATCACCATATTTTCTTCATTTGTTGATGGGCATTTAGGCTGTTGCCAAGATTTACCTATGATAAATTGTGCTGCTATAAATGTGGGTATGAATGTAACCCTGAGATATGATGTCTTTTAAGTTTTGAGAAGAGACCTAAAAGGGGAATAGCTAGGTCAAATGGAATTTCTACTTTTAGTGTTTTGAGAGCCTGCTAGAGGAATGTCTCAGTTACCAGAAGCTTATAGAGCGCTAACATCTCAGTAGACGTCTATCATTTGTAACGTGCTATAAGATGTTGGCATGGGTTTAAAAAGCAAAGTGGCTCAGTAGTAGTCTGTGCCATGCCCTGGGTTCAATGCCAGCTGCAAAAGAGAAGAGAATCCCCATCACACTACAGGAGCAGTGTTGGGCAAGTTGCTTCACTTCTGTTGGCTTCCATCTTTTTCATATGTAAATCAATTCTGATCATGTTATTCATGGGTTAGCTTGCACCTAACAGACCTAAACTGAAACTTTAAATTTTTAAATTCGTAGTGGGGATTGAACCTGGGGCCTCAAGCATGCTAAGCAAGTGCTGTCTCATGGAGCTTCCCAGCCCTTGAAGCTTTTATACTTAATGAAACTAAATTTGCTTCTAAATATTTTTGTTTTCTTTCCAGCATTATGACAGCGAAGAGGACATGTTTGGTGACTATGATAGCTTCACTGAAAATTCCATGTTAGCCCAAGTTGAGGACCTGAAACAGAAGTATATGCAACTTTCTGAACAGGGAAGACATACTGCAGACTTTGCTGCTGAAGATCTTTGCTCAGAGAACATCAAAAACAAACTGAGTGTTATTCATGTAAGTGACTTTACTGAATATGGAAATGATGAGCAGACGGAGAACCAGACTGGGTGCGGTGATGGTGCTGCTGAACCTGGAGATGGTTCTTTCTGTGATGTGCCGTCTTCCCAGGTTTTATATTTCGAAAACCTGAAGAACTCTTCAGGTCATTTGCACTGCCAGTCCACTAAGGAAAGGGATGGCAGCTCATCCTCATGCAAGACTGGGAATGAAGAATTACAGCACCAGCCGCAGCATGAATTGTCTTCTGAAGTCCAAACTGGTTCAGACACAAATAGGAGAAAAAGTATTAAAGATTTTCTAAAAAGTGCCATGACTGGAAATGCCAAGGCCCAAGCACCAGTATTTTCTCGGAATAAACAGCTCAAAGAGGCTGTCCTCTCTGAAGAGATTAATGTTGCTAAGGAGACAATTGCATCATCATCCAATGACCTTGGTCCCTTCTATTCATTACCCAGCAAAGTGAGAGACCTTTATGTTCAGTTCAAAGGAATTAAAAACTTATATGGTAATGCTTTTGGCTGGAATGAAATCAAAATTGTCCATCCTTACTGTGATATCAGCACAGATAATAGAAGCAATGCTTTCATGGTCTCAACCTGAAAAATGAAAATGTCAGTTGTCTGTCGACCTTCTGTCCCTGTCCTGCCACTGTTGAACCTCTTTCCTTCCCTAGAGTCACACTTCTCAAAGCAGTCATTTTATTGTCTTGTTTCTTGCCTCAGGTAGTTCTTCCTCCCACTCCATTCTCTGGGCTCTGGCTACAGGCTTGGCAACCCCGTGTCTAAACCACTGATATCTGTGGAGCAGCTTACCTGCTGCTAACCATACCCTTCTTAAAATTCTCTCCTTTGACATGGTGCTCCTGCATGTTTTTCTCTGATTTTCTTCTGGGTGCTTCATAGTTTTCTTAGCCATTATTGGCTGGCTCTATTTAATCTATGAAAACTTAGTTGCTGAAATTCCTTTGAACATTCAGATGTCTTGAATGAAAGAATTCAGTAACACTATTGGTTAAAAGTAAGCATCTTGATTTATTTGTTTATTATTTCTTTACTTTTGGCTTGAGAAAGGATCTCACTATGTAGTTCATACTGGCGTGGCCTCAAACTCACAGTGATCCCCCTGCCTCAGCCTCCTTAGGGGTGGGATTATAGGTGTGTGCCACCATGCTTGGCAAGTAAGCATCTTTAAAAGACAGCTAACTCCAGGTCAGGTTAAAGTACAAAGAAACACTAATAAAAACCATAGTGTGTCTTGTAATTTTTTTTTTTTTTTTGTAATCTTGGGTCCTTTTATAGACTTTCAGTTGTGTCGTTTTTTACAAAGAAGGAACAGATGCCACCATACTGGGAGATGAGCCTATCAGCCTGTTACTTGATAATTATTTCTGTACCTCTGTTGGAGTCTCAAAGACTTTACATAGATCATATATAAGGCTGTGGATTCTTAGAGAAACAATCGGGAGGAAGATGTAGGACTGGAAGCAGTCTAATCCCCGACCTCACCCAAGTCCAAGGAATTCCAAATTGTGAGGTTCGTGCTTTAGGAGCTAATGAGCAGAACTGGCCATGAAGTGGACGTTAGCTGTCTCCACACTTGCTTTTCGCCTACTGCCTTACTCTAATCTGCACCTCCTGCCAGAATGAATTCCCTGAAGACAGGACTCCTCTAAGAGTTTTTTCCTTTGGTAACTAGCACCGAGTGTGGTGTGCTCTAATAGATTCCCACCTGCTGTAAGTTGCTAGTCATCTTACGAATGCTGGCCTTGGTAACCTTCACTCCTTACCTATAAAATGGGGCAGTACTTGTGGGAGTTACATTCTTTGTCACAAACATGCCAAATTGGATACTGTAATGCTCACTGAAGTGATATCTTCTAACTAGGAATTTAAGTAAATAACTTTTTCCAGTACTGGGGACTGAACCCAGGGTCCTACACTGAGCTATGTCCCCAGCCTCACCCCCTTTTTTTGAGACAGTCTTGCTATGTAGCCTAGGCTGGCCTTGAACTTGCTACAACTGCCCCATCTCAGCTTCTGAGTGCTGGCTTTAAAGGGGTGCACCACCACACCTTGCTTTGGCTCTTTTTTCATATGTAAATATGATTTAGTAATACGGCAAATTTAAGGCATAAATGTGTGTGGTGACTTTGACTACACTAAAGCAAAGTGTGAGTCTGACTATATGGCCATCACCTGGGGATTTGCACACCGCTGTTCTCAGCGCAGCTGGCTGCCTCCCAGGCTGGGGGGGGGGGGGGCACTTAGCTGCCTGTGTTCCAACGGCCTCAAGGGCCTTCTGATGTGAACCTCTACCTTACACTTACTCCATCTCCTTTGCCTTTCTAATCATGAATTGTGTGCTTAATGTGTTTTATGTAAGTGCTGAGAGCTAGTTGAGATCATTTATTGTTTATTGTGTAAAAATGGATAGTCTCAAGCAGTATTTAGGCACTACAGGGGTTTTTTTTGTTTTTGTTTTTTAATAGTTATTTGGTGCTAGGGATCAACCCAGGGCCTTTGCATGCTTAGGAAGCACCATCCTAGTATTTTCAAAATATTTTTATTTTTAGAAAAAAACACAGGGCTGGAGCTATGGTTCAGTGGTAGAGCACTTGGCTATGGTAGTAGGTTCTGGGTTCAGTCTTTAGCAATGTGAAAGAGAAAAAAAGGGTAGTCATTTGTAAATATTTGGTACTCAATGAAAAAAAAAAGCAAACCTTTCATTCAGACATTACTATTTGTAGTACCTTTGAGATATATCCTGTTAGTAATTTTCTTTCTTTCTTTCTTTTTTCCTTGTGTTTTTTGAGACAGGGTCTCACCATGTAGTTCAGGCTGGCCTTGTACTCATACATTTTGAAGACTTTTTTTTTTAATGGTTTCATACATTGTTAAATTATTCTTCAGAGTAACCATACTAGTATTCACACCATGTCTTGGATCTGATGAGTTTTCATGAGTCCCACCTGCTGTTTTGTGTGAGTGAAGCCAAGACGTGTAAGTAAATCAGTAATTCTAGTGTTTTATGGTTAACATTTTAAAATGGTGTTTGAACCACAGTTTAGATCCCCAAGGGAGTTAGATAAAATTTTTGTTGGTTTGTATAAAACCTCATGGATTTTCCCTCCTCCTTCTATTTCTCTTTCTCTTTTTGTTTTTGAGATAGAACTGTGTAGTTCAGGGTGAGATTCAACTCACTATGTAGCCCAGGCTAGTGTTGAACTCATTGTAATCCTCCTGCTTCAGCTTCCCAAGTGCTGGAATTACAGGTGTATGCCACAGCCAGCACCCCTCCTTCTCTTCTTTCTTTCCCTATTTCTCATTCTTTTTTTTTTTTTTTTTTTTACCAGTACCAGGGATCAAACTCAAGACCACCTGCTTGCAAGGCAGGTGTTTATGCCCTGAGCTAAATCCCGAGCCCGTTCCCTCCTATTTCTAAGATGGCTTTTGGGTTAATGAGGAAGATAAGCTTGCGTAGTCTTGCAGAGCATAAGAAGGCCTTATTCACACAGGTTCTAGGTGTTCTTTTGCTTCTCCGGTGTCCTGAGATGCCCTTGTCCCTGGCTCTTCCTGTCCTGCTATCTCTTAAATCTGCAGCTGATCTGTCTACTGATCCTAAACTCACTGGCCACATGGCATTTGGAGTAGCTGACGTTTAACGTTGACTATAAGTGCATTTACCTTTAGGACATGATTGCCATCAAAGAAAGGATTTGATTTTTCCTTCATGGCAAACTTCCTTGAGATTGGGAATACAGAAATGGAAACTAATGCCTTTTCTTTCTTTAAATCCCACAACATATAATACTTAACACTGAGTTCCTTTTTCCCCATCCTTAAATTCCACAGAATGGCAACATACCTGCTTAACACTGAGTTGTGTGCAAGAACGAAAAAATTTAATTTATTCCTTGCCAACAAGTGGTGGGAAAACCCTTGTAGCTGAGATCTTAATGCTTCAGGAATTGCTTTGCCAGCGGAAAGATGTTTTAATGATCCTTCCATATGTGGCACTTGTGCAAGAAAAGGTATGTTTTTAAACAAATGTGGTTTGTTACTGTAATGACATTAAAAAATAAATGTTAGTGGGGAATAACAACTTTCTATTGACTGTAAAGAAATACCTCTTCGGGCCTTGGATTTAGTTCAGCAGCACAAGCACCTACCTAGCAAGCACAAGGTTGTGAGTTTGATCCCTGGCACCAAAAAGAAAAAAAGTACCTCTTCATGATGGAGAATGAATATATTTAGAAAATGTAAAAATAGCATACTCATTTGAAATTGCTTCAAATACTAATTACCTATCCTAGAAAGTTTTACCTTTTCTAAACTGGTGCGTGGCCCTCCATCTTAAATGTTTTCAAGCAGAAACTAATGAATTTTTAAATTAATATAAATAAGTTTTTCTTTTTGACATCAAAGGAAATAAGTTTATTTTTACTTTTATCATGTAGTTTAAAACTCACATTTATTTGGAAAGTCAATCCCTTATTTTCATGGTATTTTGTAGGTGTATGTCTAGTATGCGATCTATTCCCAGCAGTTAGTCTTAAACACTAATTTAGCTTTTTAAAAAAATTCCTGTGACTTCTAACAGTTCTTATTTGTGTTTTGTTTCTCTTACCTGATGTTTAGATTTCAGGTTTGTCCAGTTTTGGTATAGAACTGGGCTTCTTTGTTGAGGAGTACGCAGGAAGCAAAGGAAGATTTCCTCCAGTGAAAAGGAGGGAGAAGAAATCACTGTACGTCGCCACCATTGAGAAGGCACACGGCCTGGTGAACTCCTTGATTGAGACCGGAAGGATTGGTAGTCTGGGCCTGGTCGTCGTAGACGAGGTTGGTTGCTACTTCTGCAATTTATCAACTTTTTATTATCCTAACGCGATGTATTTGTGGAGCTGATCATGTGGGTCTGATTAGTACCTCTAACAATAAACAGCTGTTTCAGTATCCAGACAGTGTAGGTGTCTTCGGACTTTCTCGTTGCTGGGACAAAATACCCAGCACCCAAGGGTTTTTTTGTTTTGTTTTTATGACTAAGAGAAGATGGTTTATGTGAATGTGGAGCAAATTGGTGGAAGAGAGAGAATGCGCGGGAGACGATGTGAGGCTGCTGGGGTGGGTAGGGGACTCGAAAGTGAAGTATTTGTGGGTTCCTGTCTGCAGCTCCTTTTCATTGAGTTCCTGTGTAGGCCCCCGGAATCTGGTTGGCTCGCTGGCTGTCTTTTGATCCTTCCCTTAATTTCTTCCAGTCCCGTGACCGTTCTGTTTGGTGGAGGCAAGGATTATGGGGGTGGAGAGTTAGGTTTAAGTATTAAATAAAGGGTTTATGTTCTTCTTGGGACCTTTCTGAGTTTGGTTTTTTGCCTGTCTTTTTGATTTGCTGGAGTCTAGCTGTCTTTGTCTTTTTAATTGCTTGAGCCTAACCTGTGGAGGCCACTGACCTTAGTAAGTCTTTCCATTAGCTCCTGACAAAGCTCAAGCCTTCAGGTACCACCCCCCTACCCACCTCCCCCTCGCCACATCCCCCTTCTGAGACACCATTTACCTGCTCTTGTGGAAATGGAGGGGTGGATCTGGCGGCTTTGAGCTGAATGGGGTCCTCAGCTGGGAGGTTCCTCTGATGGGCCTCAGCACCTCGATAGTGGGTTTCTCTGTCTGACTTCTGGGGTTTGGCAGCCTCTAGATGAGAATAAACACACTTTACCAGGAAGAGATTAAGCACCTGTAACCAAATTGTGACGATACAATGAAAGGCAGATTGGGGAAGGAGCCATGGCAGACAGCTGGCCTATAACCAGCTAGCCCTGAAGCTGTCGGCAGTCTATATGTCTAGCCTGTGTCATTACTATCATACTATAGCATTCTTACTCAGTATCTCTGGCTATACGCTTTTGTTGCTGAATGTTCAAGATCAGGTTAAGGTGAGACCTTTGTCAATCATAATTTGCCTCCTGCATACATAAACATATATATACATGCATATGTGTATCTCAAGGTCAGTTAAAACTCCTCAAGCATTACTTTTGGGGTCATGGTCAGAGCCCCTGAACTTTCAGTTCTTCTTCTGGCAGATGTGACAGCCGAAGTTAAAGAAGGCAGGTTTATTTTGGCTCACAATTTGTAGAGATTTCAGTTTATAGTCAGCTGGCTCCAAGGCAGGGTGGCATAGCAGAGGGGCATCAAAGAGGAAATAGTTACATGGCAAGGCAGACGGGAGGAAGGGAGGATCAAGGCATGAGGGCAGGGACCGGGGATTTAGCTCATTGGTACAAGTGCGTTTCTGGCAAGCACAAGTTCCATCCCCAGTACCAAAAAAAAAAAAGGACCAAGGCATGAGGAGGGACCTATATTCTAGAGCACACCCAGTGACCTGCCTTTTCCCACCAGCCTTTACTTTCCCAGCATCGCACTTGGCTGTAACTATCGATGGCCTAATCCGGTGTCACATACCCATGACCCAGACACCTCACAGAAGCCCCAGCTATGAGCATGTGAGGCTTTGGGGGCCATGCAGATACCAGGCATGACAAGTGAAGACATTCCATGCTTGGTGGTCTTAAATTTGATTTTCTTAAGGTATTTCTTAAAACTTGAATATGTCATATTTAGACATTTTTATATTCATAAGTACTACAAATTTCACATGTGTCAGAGTGTTGCCACAGAACTCATTAACTTAAAGTACCAATAGGCAGATAAGGTCTTTTTTTTCCCCCTGTGGTGCTGGGGAACAAACCCAGGGCCTTATGCATGCAAGGCAAGAACTCTACACCGAGCCACGTCCCTAGCCCCATAGATAAGGTGTTGATGCTATAGGTTTTATAACCAAAATATTGAAGAGTTAAAAACCAAAGGTTGTACAGTCATCCCATACAGAGATGTTTGTGGTTTATGTGAGCATTATGTGAAGAATCACTCTCCACTTTTTGTTTTGTTTTAATCTCAAAGTTGCACATGATTGGTGAAGGGAGCCGTGGTGCCATACTGGAAATGACCCTAGCAAAAGTCCTCTACACAAGCAGTAAGTATTTTCAGACTTTAATCCAGAGACCTAGCTATAAAGAATTCATGTGATCACCAGGTTATGCAGATGAAGGTTTTACCTTCGGTTTTAAATTTCTAAACTGAGTTTATAAATGTGCATTGGGGGAATAGCTAGGTAAGCAGAACTATGAAGGTAAATGATACTAGCATTGGAGGAATCTCTGTTACTTTCCTACCCTTGCTAGCTCCTGTCACCACAGTGTGTCTCTTTCTCTGAAGTGGAAAGGATGTTGCCCTGGCCTGAAGGACAGCTCCAAGGTCATGTGCGAGAACACGCAGAAAGCTGCCTGCAGTGCCTGCCTAGCACCCAGCCTTCAGCAAGGCTTTGGCTCTGCCAGCTGCCTTTCCCCCTCATCACACCGGTAAAGAAGTACATTTAGTCACTTTAGGAACTACTTGTGGCACTGAGTAGTCTTTTTTTTTTTTGAGACGAGGTCTCGCTGTGCAGTTTAGGCTGGCCTTGAGCTCACTTTGTTGCCCAGGCTGGTCTCAAACTTGCAACAATCCTCCTGTCTCAGCCTCCCGAGTGCTGGGATTACAGGCATGAGCCACCACAGCTGGCTCTGAGTAGTCTTGAAATGCAGAGAAATGCAGATTACAGATGTCTCCGTATTGATGTAAAATTGCAGGGCTTACATATAGGACAAGGATTAGCCATGAAGGGAGGAGATGCTGTAGGTTGATCCTGGGATTTCATACATTCTAGGTGCTTTACCCCTGAGCTATCCCTTGGACCTCCAAAGTTATTTTTAAACATTTGACAGCAGATGGTAGCATTTTATAATCATTTATTTTTAAATTATTTATTAAACATCTACTATGTGCCAGGAGGTACTACGTCAAGTGCTAGAGATACAGAATAAGTAGAATAAAGTACTGTACCTGCCTTTAGTCTGTATTTCAGTGAAAATAAACAGATGGTAAGCAGATAAACAAGACATAGGGTGTGTCAAATGGGGTAGATTCTGTACACCTGAAAGCAGAGGAAGACCAGTCAGCCACTTCTCAATCTCAGTGTATGCTGTCTTTGCCTTAGTTTTTCTTTAGTATCTGTTTATTCTTTTCCCTTGGGTGTGGGAATATCCTTCTCTCTTGGCTTTCTCTGTACGAGGGACCCTACCTTAGCACTGAGAGATACACATCATGATGACTAAGGACACACACAAGTGAGATCCAAATCTTGGCCCTAACCCTCACCCTCACCCTAGCCCTAAATTGAAATATGATGTAATTTGTACTTCAAAAAGCTTGAGTTTTGGATTCTTTTTATATGAAGTCATCTTGGAGTCAGGAAATCCAATCCTACATTAATATATATGAGGTACAAAAATGTAAGAGGAAGGGCTGGGGGTTTAGCTCAGCCGTGTAAGCGCCTGCCTTGCAAGCAGGCAGTCGTGAGTTCGATCCCCGGTACCGATAAAAACGAAAAAAGACCAAAAAAAGAAAAATGAAACAAAAAAAAATGTAAGAGGAATGAAAGTAACAGACATACCAATCTGTACAGTACAGCCTCACAGTTAAATGTTTTTCCTGTCTCAGGTACATGGCCCAGGGAGGGAGGTCGTGCTGACTTTGCCTGCTTCCTAGGGCATCACACATGGGGAACTGGACTGGAGCCTTCCACACTGATTGGCTGCAAGGAGAGCAAGAATTAGTCTTTTAGAGCATCTAACGTGGTACCCACCACTCAGTGGATACTTACTTGCTGTTGTGTAGCTGTCTTTCAGTCACTAGTACTTAGCAGTTGAATCAAGTTATCCTCTTTAGTTTTTCCTTCTAGATTTTGTTCTGTGATACCTCGCTGGCTGCGCACTTTACACAATGGTGTTACAGCAGACTCATGTTCCTGTTTCCTACAGTGATGACCATCCATAGTCCTGAGTTTAAGCACTTCCTGTGTACTGACCACTCCGACTCTGTACTTTCAGCTCTCACTTCTCTTTTGAGTAACACCATCTACCAAAGGCTCGGTCAAAGCCTAATTAATTTCTTTTGGATCCATTTTTTTCTTCTTATTATTTTTACCTTTTTATTAGTACATTTATAATATATAACATTTACGTTCTGTGGAAGGAACTGGTACATGTACATAGCACATATCAACTCATTTTTTTTTTTTTTTTGGTCTTTTTTCATGACTGCCTGCTTGCAAGGCAGGCGCTTATGCTGCTGAGCTAAATCCCCAGCCCCTGTTAACTCATTTTTTAAAATCCACTTTTCCTTCTTTTCCTCTCCTCTCCACTCATCTCTTGAGTCCCTTCTTTTTATTTTTCGTACATGTTTGTGATACATAATGTTTACGTCCCCTATGTGGAGTCGGGGCGTGTATATAACACATCTTAACTCCTTTCATAAGCTTCCCCTCCTCCCTTCCATTTTTTTAAACAAAATATAAAAGGATAAAAATCATACAGAATTTAGAAAAAAATAGTAAGAAAAATAGTAGTTAAGTCCATTGCATATTGTTATATTAAAAATTGCATATTGTTAATATTAAAAATATTTGTTCATATTACAAGATTTAAGCATGAAAAAAGATCAATCAATGAAAACATAAACTTTTGATGAAGAGAGATTAGTAGCATAGTTATCTATCCTGCATGTATGTACATCCACACATATGTACATATATACCGATATACATATAATCTTTTCCTTTCCCCTATCCTAATTGTTCTTTCCTTTTGAGTACTTTCTTTCCCATTCATTTTCATAACGTCTCTTCTACGTTTTGGATCTTATTACTTTCAGTTTGTTTTTTTTTTTACACTAGGGAGTCAATATAATATTTACATGCATGAGTTTGATTTCTCTCACTTATGAGGATGGTCTTAGGTTGTATCCATCTACCTATAAAAAGCCTCAAGTTTATCCTCCATTTAATCTTTGGCATGTGTACAGCCAGTTTTCCCAGCACTATTTATTAAAGAGGCTATCTTTCTTCCAGCTAATGTGTTTGGCACCTTTGTCAAAGATAAGGTTGGCTTTGTGTATCTGGGGTTGTTTCTGTATCTTCTTTTTTTTTTTTTTTTTTTTTTGTCTTTTTCCTTTTTATCGGTACCGGAGATGGAACTCATGACTGCCTGCTTCCAAGGCAGGCGCTTATGCCACTGAGCTAAATCCCTAGCCCCCTGTTTCTGTATCTTCTAATCTGTTCCACTGACCTTTGGGTCTATTTTTCTGCCAGTACCACACTGGGGTTTTTTGTTGTTGGTTTTTTGGTACTGGCAATCAAACTCATGACCTTGTGCTTGCCAGGCAGGCACTTAGGCCACTGAGCTAAATCCCCACCCCTATACTGTTGTTGTCACAGTAACTTTATAATTTCAAGTTAGGAACTGTGATGCCCCATGCCTTGCCTTTGTTGCCCAGGATTGCCTTTGCTATTCTAGGTCTCTTCTGGTTCCAGATGAATTTTGGGATTGTTTGCTCTAATTCTGTGAGATACACTATTGGAATTTTGGTTGAGAATGCACTCAATCTGCATAGTAATTTTGGTAGTATGGCTGTTTTCACTGCATTGGTTCTGATACAGTATAGCTCTCCATTTTCTAATATGCCCTTCAATCTCCTTTGTCAGAGTAGTGTAGTTTTCAATGTAAAGGGCTTTTAAATCCTGTGTTAGATTGATTCCTAGTTACAGATGTTATAAAAGGTATTGTTTCCCTGATTTTTCTCTTAGTGAGCTTGTTATTTGTGTACAGGAAGGCTGTTGATTTTTGAATGCTGACCTTGTAACCACCTGCATTACTGAATTTTCTTATTAAATCTAGAAGTTTTTGGTGGAGTTTTGGGGTCTTCTAAGTAGAGTGTCATGTCATCTGCAAATAATGTTTAACTTCTTCCTTTCTTATCTTTATTCCTTTTATTTCTTTCTCTTGTCTAATTGCTCCAGCTAAAGTTTTCAAGACTATGTTAAATAGGAGTGGTGATAGACATCCTTGTCTTGATACTGATTTTATAGTGAAAGCTTTCAGTTTTTGTCCATTTTGTATGATGTTGGCTGTTGGTTTGTCGTAGATGGCTTTCTTTCTTTTTTTTTTTTTTTTTTTTTTTTTTTTTTGATATTGGGAATCAAGCTCACATCCAAGCAAATTCCAGGCAAGCACTGTGCTGCTGTGCTATATCCCCACCCTTACCAGATTGAGATAAAGGCCACTATTCTGATTTTCTGCAGTGGTTTTTTTTTTTTTTAAATCATGAATGGGTACTGGAATTTGATAAAAGCTTTTTTCTGCATCTGTTGAGAGGATCATATGATTTTTATCCTTGATTCTTTAGTATAGTGTATTACATTTATGGATTTATATATGTTGAACCATCCTGATCCTTGGGATGAATCCCTCTTGATCATGATGTATAATCTTCCTGACTATATGCTGCATTGTTTGCCAGTCTTATTAAGGGTTTTTGCATCTATATTCATTAGGGAAGCTGGCCTGTAATTCTCTTTATTAGTTGGGTCCTTCTCTGGTTTTGGTATCAGGGTAATGCTTGCTTCCAGAAATGAGTTTGGAAGTATTACTTCCCTTTCAATCTCGTTAAATTCTATAAATTTCTTGTAGAATTCAGCAGCAAATCCATCAGGGCCTCAGCTTCACTCTGTTGATAGGTTTTTATTTATTTATTTTTGGTACCGGTGATTGAACTCACGACCTCAAGTTTGCCAAGCAGTCACTTATGCCACTGACCTAAACCCCCAGCCCTGTTCATAGGTTTTTAATTTCATTGATTGATACTGATTTACTTAGAATTTTTATATCTTATTTTAGCTTTGGTAATTCATATGTATCTAGGAATCTGCCTATTTCTTCTGTATTTTCCATCTTATTAGAATACAAGTTTACAGAGTAGGTATAGATGATTTTCTGGATTTCTGCAGGGTCTGTTATGATTTCATCCTTTTCATTCCTAATTGCATGGATATGAGTCTTTTTTTTTCCTTTTTTGATAAGACTGGCTAAGGGTTTGTCAATTTTATTTCATCTTTCAAAGAACCAGGTCTTGGATTCACTAATTCTTTCTATTATTTTTGTTAGTCTCCAGTGTGTTAGTTGCTGCCCTGACCTTTATAATTTTCTCCCTTGTAATAGCTTTTGGTTTAGCCTGTTCTTTCTTTTCTAGAAGTTTGAGCTTCAACATTAAGTTGTTTATATGCACTTGTTCTGTTTTCCTGATATGGGTATTTACTGCTATAAATTTCCCTCTTAACACCGCTTTGTGTCCCATTAGTGTACTTTTATTTTTTAAAAATTTGACAAAGCTGAGCATGGTGGTACACACCTGTAATCCCAGCACTCGGGAGGCTGAGTCAAGGGGATCACCTTGAGTCTGAGGCCAGCCTGGACTCCGTAGTGAGTCCAGACCAGCCTGAACTACGTAGGAAGGCTCTGTCTCAAAAAACATATCTAATGAACAACTTTCCTCACAGCAAGCGGTCGGGACCCACCTACCTTGTCTTCTGCACTCCGCTGTGTCTCTAGTCCCACCTCAGGCGTATTTTGAAAATGCTTATACGGATGATCCAGATAAACAGCCATACACAGATTTATACTCAGATTTTTGCTCAGACCTCTGAATCAGTATCATACTTCTTTCCAAGCTTGAAAGTTCTGTAGAATTCTAAGTAGTACCTTTTGGAGTAGCTGAAAGGTTTCATCTTTGGAATACTAGATTAATAGTCTGGTAGTGTATAGGTTGGTGACCTTAATCAGAAAATCTAAAATCCAGTGTACTTCAGAGCACATGATGGGTTGCAGTCAGAATACAGGCGTCCTAAAAATTTTGAGTGTGGAAGGTATGTGAAACGGAAGTACATTCTATGTTGTGCCGTGGGTCACTTCCCCAAGATGCTATTCTAGAAAGCTAAAAAGACTGGAATCTGAATCACTTGTGGCCCATGTGGTTCAGGTGAAGGGTACTCAACAGGTATTTGCCTTTTCTCATCCCTCTGCCCTTGCCCAGATTGCTTAGGAAGAATTTAGAGCATTAAAACGTTGCCAACATTCTTTTATGGTATAGTAACACTTTTTTTTTTCTTCTAATAACATATTTTAATACTCTGAGGTTTTTTTTTTTTTTTTCAGAAACAACTCAAATTATTGGTATGAGCGCGACATTAAACAACGTCCAGGATCTGCAGACGTTCCTGCAGGCAGAGTACTACAGCAGTCAGTTTAGACCAGTATGTACTTTAGGTTTACACATATGACTGACCCTCTCCTCTGAGAAACAGAGACGCGAGCTGGTGACTGAACGCCTCTGTGGAGCAGGAGACATCAGTTTCAGCCACCGAGACTGCTTGGGATCGTGCAAGTGGACCTGAACTCTGCGGGTTAAGGGGTCTTGGCTGGGGTCCCTATTGCATCTGTAGCATCTGAAACAATGGCTACTGAGCCCGCAGGGGACATTCATGGAATGAATTTTTTTTTTTTTTAGCTTTATTTCATTTTTTCATTTATTATTCTCCAAAGTAAATTTCTCATTTGGCCAAAATTTAGTGAGACGTATTTGTCTCCTTAAATCATTATCTGAAAATATTTTCAAGTGTCTATGCTGTGGTAATTGTTATACTTATTTTAATGAATTAAGACTTAACTCAGAGGGTTTTTTTTTTTTTTTTTTTTTTTTTTGGTACCGGGGATGGAGCTCGAGACCTTGCACTTTCTGGACAGGCACTTAGGCCACTGAGCTAAATCCAGGACAAATTTAAAATTTTTTTTTTTTTTTTCGTACTGGGGATCGAACTCATGACCTCACGCTTACCAGGCAAGTGCTTGAGCCACTGAGCTAAATCCCTGGCCCCCTTGACTTAGATTTAAATTTAAACTCCTCCATAACAACATTCCCAAGATGGTTGAAGAAAGTAAACAAATACACCTCAGTTACTTGAAAGTAGCTTAAAATGAACATGTGCTATGTACAGTACCAGTGTGAATGTTACTGTGTCAAATAGGTTTTCAAAAATAACTTGAGAATCACCAAATTTTGATTTGAAATTTGATATGTTTACATTCACACCAATATGCAAATTTTTAAAAGCTATTTTTTGACCTTGCATATCACATTAGATACTGTCTATTTTAAGTGTAATGAGCTGTGTTTGTAAACTGTTTGTTCACAGATAACTTACATTGAAAACAATATAGTGGTATTTAGAATTACAACTGATAACTGACAGAATCACAACAAAATTTTCAATCTTCAGAAATAACTCCATAACAACAAGTGTAAACACCAAAGGTCACTCACACTCCTGTAACAGATACAACACGTGTGGTTCCTCTGCATGTGTGACTACAGGGGCTTTAGCTACTATTTTATTTAAGGGAAAAAGGGTAAAAAAGTGAAGCAAGAACTTTTAAGTTGAAGCATTTTTAAGATTTGGCTATCTCAGAAAAGTGAAAATCTGTGTAGCTGTCCTTTTCTACCTCATACTTAACAAAACTTAAAACTGAAGAGTTTCTTCTCATTTCACGATATCTATTGTACATTTTAGGTCTGACTACTCTTTCAGCTCCTCACACTGGGGAGACAATAGTGTTTACACAGGTGAGTCTGGTTTATTTCACTTAGGAGTACGGTCTCGGTCTCGAGTTGCATCCATTTACCTATAAAACCACCCAGTTATAGCTGAGTAGTACTCCACTGTAAAAAAAATACCACATCTTTTTTCTGTTCCTCAGTTGATGGACATTGGGGTTGTTTCCAAGATCTGGCTATTACCAATTGTGCTGCTATAAACATCGGTGCACATATATCACTGTGACATGATGTTTTTAATTTTTGGGGGAACATAACCTGAAGGGGTAAAACTGGGTTAAATGACACTGCTAATCCTAGTTTTTTGAGGAATCTCCAGTCTGATTTCCACAGTGATTGCACCAATCTATACGCCCATCAACAGTGGAGAAGGGTGCTTTTTCCCCACAGCCCCTCTAGCATTTGTTATTGCTTGATTACTTGATGATAGCCATCTTTCTGGAGTGAGGTGGAATCTCAGTGTTTTAATTGCATTTCTCAAATGACCAATGATGTGGAACATTTTTTCATATTTTTATTTGCCATTTGTATTTCTTTATCTGAGAAGTGCGTGTTCATCTCTGATGCCCATTTTTGGATTGAGTTTTTGACTTTGGGAGGTCTGACTTTTTTTGATTGCTTTATATGTTTTAGATATAAGTCCTTTGTCTAAGGGACAACTGGCCATAATTTTTTCCCATTCTGTGGACTGTCTTTTTACTCTGTTGGTGATTTCTTTTGATGTGCAAAAACTGTTTAATAAGGTGAGATCCCATTTGTTGATTTCCCATGCAATCTGGGTTTTGTTCATGAGTTCTCTGGCCATACCTATGTCTTCAAGATTTCTATTTATTTTCTCTTCCAGTAGGTTTAGTGTTTCTATTTTATTTTATTTGATACCAGGGATTGGACTTGTGACCTTGCACTTGCCAGGCAGGTGCTTGTGCTGCTAAACTATATCCCCAGCTCTAGTGCTTCTGTTTTATTATTTAGATCTTTGATCCCTTTTGACTTTAGTGCATGGTGACAGACATGTGTCTAGTTTTAATCTTTGGCCTGTAGAGAGCCAGTTTCCCCAGCAGCATTTACTGAAGAGGCTTCTTTCTTCAGTGAACACTCTTGGCCCCTCTATCAAAGACCAGGTGGCTGAGTGTGTTTGGAGTTGTATCTGCATCTTTTATTCTGTTTCACTGATCCTCAGGTCTGGTGGGTTTTTTGGTTTTGGTTTTGTTTTGTTTTTTTAAGACAGTAGTTTTATAGAAAGAAGGAAAGGAACAGGAAAAATATGTATATATACAAGATAGTTAAGATAGTTATACTACTAATTTCTCTTACTTCACTGAAAAGAAAGTTTTGTGCTAATACTGTTTTGGACAGTTTTTCATTCCTGTGTCTTGGACTCTGAGGAACTGCATTGAAGATGACAGTACATGATATGTTAACCATTGTTGCTCTCCCATTGTTATGAAACTGTGTGGGTTTTTTTCTCTTTAAAGTGTTTTTTAAAAACTGAAAGAAGGACTCATGTGTATGTGTGGTATTAATTGAAAATTTCCTCTTAATTCAGGTTGAGTTAAAAGAATATCTGAAGATAAATGACACAATATATGAAGTTGACCGCAAAGCTGAAAGCAGTATCACTGTCTCACGCCTCCTTCCCCATCAGGTAACATCAGTAATCCTGCAGTATTTTTTTTTTTTTTTTTTTTTTTTTGTCTTTTTCATTTTTTTCGGTACCAGGGATCGAACTCATGACCGCCTGCTTGCAAGGCAGGTGCTTATGCCGCTGAGCTAAATCCCCAGCCCCAATCCTGCAGTCTTCGCTTCCCACACTTGTACCCGGCTGTCCTGGGCACCACAGGGAGTCACGCTGGGGCCACGAGTGGTCATGCATATTGTGGCGTGCACTGGACGACACATAGACTGCTCGCTCGGCTAGTTAGTTCCCGTCTTCTTCACAGTGGCCATTAACAGCCTTGCACTTGGTGAGCAGGTGCCCCACCCCTGAGCTCTGCCCCGTCTCCAGATTCCAGCTTTAACCCAAATCACACCGTATTTCTTTCCTCAACATTTTACCTTTGGGGGCTGGAATTTCTGTAGTTGCTGAATGCAGCATGCCATGTGAAAATCAGTCTGGAGTGATGGTGGCTGTGTTACCTCAATCCAGAGTTTTAAAGATGCTAACATTGTGTTACTTCCTGTTAGTGAGCCATGTGTCTACTGAAGAATTAAAATATTATTTATTCAAATGGCTACTAAATTGGAGGAAGTAAAAATTTATGAAGTTGTTTGGACCTGACTAATAAAACTTAAATATTTATTTTGGCCTTGGGACTCTGAACCAAGAAAATCTGGAACCCTCTTCTGTAAATGTTTATTCAGTCAGCAGCATGAACAAAGAATAATTATAGTCCATATAGTTGGTATATTGAATATAAAAATGACTGCCATTAATCCCAGCTATCAGGGTGGCTGAGGCAGAAGGATCACAAGCTCAAGGCCAGCTTTGGCAACTGAGTGAAACACTGTCTCAAGACAGTAGTGTTGTCAGGTGCACACACCTGTAATCCCAGCACCCCAGGAGGCTGTGGCAGGGGAACATGGGTCTGCGCGCAGCTCCAGCGTGTAGCAAGACAGTGTCTTAAAAGGTAAAAGTTAGAAGGAAGCTGGAGACACAGCTCAGTGTGAAAGCCTGGATTCAATCTCCAGTACTTGCAACCAGTCAGTCCATCAGATTTTCTCTTCCTCCTCTTCTCCCTCCTCTTCTTCCTCTTCTTCTGGTTGCTGCTTCTGTTTTCTTCTGGTTTTTGAGGCATAGTATTACTATGTAACTCAGGCCGGCCATGAATTCACAGTGATCCTCCTGCCTCAGCCTCCCCATCCTGGGGTTACAGGTGTGCACCACTATGGCTAGCTCCAATCAGATTTTTAAAGGGTTGGATATTAAAAAGAGAAAAAAGAATTTTATAGCAGGTTTTGAATTCTATAAGATATTCTAAATCTATATCTTAATTTTCAATAAAACAAAAAAGACTAAAGAGATTTTAAATAACTATTCTTTTCTTTCCAAGTTCCTTATGACTGCAGATTTCAAGTGTTGCCCTAATTCAGCATTACAGTATTTTTTATTTCTGAAAGTATGTCCTTTAGTGTTAGTAAATCTGTGTTTTTGATAACTCCTGGTAGTAATAAAGAGCATATTTACTGATAATTAATAAAGAACTTATTCATTCAGCTCTTCAACTACTGTCAGGTCAAACATAGAAGAAGGATATATCTGTTTCTCTCTGTGGACTTTCTTGTTCTGCATTGGTACAAATGGGCATGTAGTAGAGTTATTAATAACATCAATTACTTTCACTTCTGCAATTTAATGCACTTCTTTAATTCTTTTTTTTCAAGCTAAGTATACCTAACAGACAGACCTGTAACAAATAACCTAAGCGGAAGGTAAACTTTAACACTTTGATGTTAATAAGCTCCATCTTGTCTTTTAAATGATCAGATTCACTGAGAAGTTCAGTGGTTTACTTACCTTTCAAATTCACAGTGGTTTAATTGGAATAGTTTTATTTTCAGTTGTTTGATTTTATTGTCTGTGATGGTATGAACAGCTATTTTGAAGAAAACAAGAAATTATAATAGCTAGTGCTGATTTAATATCAGCTTGTTTTGAAGTCCCATCAAACTTTTGTTCTTCTGTCTCCATTGGTTTTATCATGTTATCTTATTGGATTTTATTATATGTGATAGTCCAAACAAAATTTTTTATAGACAAGGAGATAATAAAACCATTGTTTGTTTTCTGTTAGTTGGTTCTAAATACTCTGTAATACTTTTACCCTCTTGAATGGTTTTACACTGTCTTGTTATGTTTGATATAATTTCATATTATACTCAAATATTCACGGAAAGAGACACTATACGGTAACTACTGTTAGGTCGGGTTATCCTGTCGTAAAACACTACGTTGCTTAAATTGTTCTGTTTTGACCTGTGTTGTTATGTCCTCTTTCATCTTAATCTCTCCCTTTTTTAAATATATTTTTTAAATTAAAAAAAATCACGGTGGTAACAAAAACACATGTTTGCAGTTACTAAGTCCCTGGTTCCTGCATCTTGTTGTTTTGCAGTATTCTGATTCCTTAAAAAAGATGGATCCTGATCATTTGGTGGCATTGGTGACAGAAGTTATACCCAATTATTCCTGCTTAATTTTTTGTCCCAGTAAGAAGAACTGTGAAAATGTAGCAGAAATGTTATGCAAATTTTTAAACAAGTACGTTAACCTTTTACAAGTATTCTGTTCTATTTATACACGAATTATAGGCTGTTATGTTATTTCTTGAATACTCATTACTTCTTGCATAACATTATTTGTTTTACTAGATTTTGAAGCAGTTGACCTGAAGAAAGAAAATTAAACTGTGAAATTCACATTTAAAATAGACAGTTTACACTGGGCATGGTAGTGCACCCCTGTTATCCCAGTACTTGGGAGGTTGAGGCAGAAAGATCTCTGTGAGTTCAAGGACAGCCTGAGCTACATAGTGAGATGCTGTCTCAAAAAATCAAAATAAATAAATAATGAAATAGAAAATTCCCAAAGTTACAGTAAGAAAATGCTAACCTGTATAAACTTCTTTTAGATGAGCAATTCAGAACCTTGAAAGTTGAGTGAATCACCTTGGAGAGCTTAAAAATCCCAATGTCTGTGCTACTGCTTAGACAAATCAGAGTTTCTGGGAGTGGGACCAGGCAAGTGCCACATACAGGGGGCTAACGAAAGGACTGATCACTGTGGGGACAAGTGACATCCTCCTCATAACCTTTTCAGGAATGAAATGCCAGAGTTTCTGTTTTCACTTACATCATGTGGATGTGTGAGTTTAATTTCCTAGGTAGCTTAGCAATACATTGGTTTGGAATTCTGTGATTCTTCAGTGTTGACTGTTTTGCTCAGTATGAAGTGACTTTAGATACTAATAGTTCAGGAGACACCTGTTTGTGCCCTGTGTTGTTTTATCATTTTTTGCAGACTTCTTGGCTCTTGGCTAGGACTCCACACTAGTAAGAGACTGTCAACCTAGATTCTAATCTAATTACCCTCCAGCTCTCTTCCCAGTCTTCCTGCCGCAGATTCATCTACAGTGGAGTTACAGTCATTGAATAGTACATGTTTGGGATAAGATCAGGGAGTTGCTCACTTTGGTAGCAGATGATCTACTATTATAGTGTGAATTACCATGCAAGTATTCTCATTGTCTTAGAATAAGACATTAATGTACTCAGTAAGTCATTTATTTTCTTAGGATAATTTATGATAGATACTTGAATTGGTTATTTTTCTTAAATAATCTAAGGTGACTTGAAGTGATTAGAGATGCTAACATTTAGGATATTACTCAGGTTTCTAAAGTTCTAGTGTTTAGGCAGTAGTTTACCACATGACCGTGTAATAAGTGTAATTTAATGCCTGTGTCTGTCTCCAGGGAGGAAAATGTGTGCCTCAGAGTAGAACAAAGCATGCCCTATGGGATGCATACAGCAGAAAAAAAACAATCAGGGCATACGGAGCAAGGGGCTAAACCGGTGTGCAAGGATGAACCTGAAACTATACACAGTGTTTTTTTACTTGAATAGACATATTTTTTGTTCACTTTAGCCGGGTTTTCATAGAGTCCAGGACTCCACAAGAAGATTGAGTTCATGAGGTCAGAATCTAAACTCCAAGCCCCTCCCTGTGCACTTACATTAGTGTAGCTTGTTACGGCAGAGCTGTGCCCGGCTGTGCTCAGGTGAACATGCTGCGCGCTCCTCCTTCACTGTGAAGTCAAGAGCGCCTGCTTCTCACTGCGTGTTTTCCAGGGAGTACCTGAAGCACAGGGAGCAGGAGAAATGTGAGCTGCTGAAGAACCTGAGGGACAGCAGCGGGGGCCACCTGTGTCCTGTCCTGAAGCGCACCGTGCCCTTCGGCGCCGCCTACCACCACAGCGGCCTGACCGGCGAGGAGCGGAAGCTGCTGGAGGGCGCCTACTCAGCTGGCGTCCTCTGCCTGCTGGCCTGCACGTCCACGCTGGCGGCCGGGGTCAACCTGCCTGCGCGCAGGTAGGCGGGGAGCGCTGCCCTGATCGCAGCGAGTTAGCTGGCACGATCCCAGGACAGGATGGGAAGTTACCGGATGTTTGCTGGATTGACTGATTGGTTTATTTCCTTGAATATTTTAGTGAAAAATGACATTAGATTTTCTTCTGTTAGAATTCCTTCCTTCGCATGTGCTCTCCCTATCTGGGGTTTGATAGTAGGGTCTGGAGTTCTGCTTGTGTAGAAAAAGTTGGCATACTTTTTACCATGTTTGTCCTCTGAAAGAGTTTATTTAACGTAAGAATTTCCTTGAAATCTTGAAATACTGTCTATAAGATCACTTAAGTCCAGTATCTTTTTTCTTTTTCATATATCTAGCTAGATAGATATACAAAGTTTTACTTTAAATATATTACTGCCAAGTTGAACTTTTTTTTTTCAAGTTGAACTTCTTGTCAGTGTAATAGGACCTTTTTCCTTCATTTAATGATTTTGCTTTGAATAGCATCTCATTTTTTGCTAGGTTCATTTTTATTTTATTTTTAATCTTTGTCACTGATAAATTTTCCATTTTTCAGACACCTGAAGAACACATTGGAAGCAGTATATCTTAATTCTATTATTTCCAGTGGGCTACTCTTAAAATTTTAACCTTTGAAATCAAAATATTTTTCATCACTTCAGAATTAATAGCCTCTCCCTGAGCATAAAGGAATGGTGACACTTGTATGTTTTCTGTCCTATGTATGTTATAATTGCCTCAACATTTTTTTAAAGTTTACTTTTATATTTTACATTTTTCGTGGTGTTGTTCTCTGCTTCTGTAACTTCAGCTAGATGAGTTGAGGTCTCTTAGACTGAACTTGCAACTTACAAATTGAAATCTAAATGACAGTGCTGGCAGTTACTTACCTGAGCTTCAGACAACTCTTGTAAGAATATTTAAATAAATAGGCTGCTACTAGCTTTTTGTGAGAATTACAGGTAACTTCCAATCTTTTGAGTTAATGTGTTACTAAAATAACATTACCTAGATGGGAAAAGTTTTAAAAATAGATGCTATTGGTATAGGTGGAACATCACTTGTAATTAATTTTATGAATTCCCTAGAGTTATTTTAAGAGCTCCCTACGTTGCTAAAGAATTTTTAAAGAAGAGTCAATATAAACAGATGATTGGCAGAGCTGGCCGTGCTGGAATAGATACCGTTGGGGAAAGTATACTTATATTACAAGAAAAAGACAAGCAAAAGGTAAGCTCAGTCTGGCTGGTGGGTCCCCGACCACAGTGGTCTGTGTTCTACTCTTGTATGAGGTCATCTTTTAAAAACTAATCACTAATTTTTTATGTGATGCAGCCTTCTATATGATGAAAAATCAGGGAATATAATTTGAAGATTTTTGCATTTTAGAGATGAAAAGTATTTTTCCTATTTATCTTTCTTAATTTTATAAGGATACCTGGTAACTTCTCCTTCTTTCATCATTTGGGGTGGCTTGGTTTGGTTTGGGCTGGTCTCTGTTGGCTTTCTAAGATTTATACAAATATAAAATCTTTACATGAGACACTATTTATTCTTTGTTTTTTTGTTGTTGTTGTTGTGTTTGTTTGTTTGTTTGTTGCTGGGGTTGAACTTACAACCTTGCGCTTGCCAAACAGGCGCTTATGCCACTGAGCTAAATCCCTGCCCCCCCCCTTTTTTTTTAATTTTTTGAGACAAGGTCTCTTCATCTTTCTTAGACTAGCCTTGAACTTGTGGCAATCTTTCTGCCTCAGCCTCTTAAGTGCTGGGATCACATGCATGCACCAGCATGCGTGGTATAACACCATTTATACTTAATAGTAACTCAGAACCTAGTATTTTAATCCTGCTTTAACTTCTGTAGGTCTTGGAGCTAATAAGCAGACCACCAGAAAACTGTTACAGCCATCTTGTTCAGCAATTCACCAAGGGAATCCAAGCTTTGTTTCTCTCTTTGATTGGCCTAAAGGTACTTTTTAAACCTTACTTCTGTTGGCTGAGATAATGAAGTTAAAGTTTATGTAGACACTAACTGAACCTCATTCATAGACCTATCTTAAAGCCCCACTTCCTAAACAGAAAGCTGTAAAACACTGCTGAGAAAAATTAAAGATTTAAGTAAGTGGAGAAAGATCCACGCATTGAATTGAAGCATTTCATTTTGTTCATATGTTACTTCTCAAGTGGATCGATACAGTCTGTCTGATCCCAATAAAATCCCAACAGTTTTTTTGGGTAGAAATTGCTATATTTTGGTGGAAGGACTCAGCACGTCCCAGGACACCAGAGCATGCAGGGTAACGGTAGACAGAACTGCTGTGGCCAGAGACTGTGGGTTCATCATCCTGGCCACGCCCAGCTGTTTCACTGAGATTGTTTTAGTGACCAGACTACAGCCTGAAGTCCAGGCAGCAGGCAGCTCAGTGGCAGGCCGTCACTGAGCTGCCCGCGGAAGCGGACCCCAGTGGCCAGGGCCAGGCCTGAGCAGGCCTGCCCATCAGGGCTGCTCGCCCCCTCACATTGGAGCTCACAGTAGCGCTCTGCTTGTGGGGCAGCCTGGAATTGTAGGCAGGGCTGGCAGCCAGGGCCTCTGTTGGGCTGGAACAGAAGTGGAAATCAAGTCCTGCACGCGGGAACTACTGGGAGGTTGAGGTTAGAGCAAGGAAGGGCGAGGTCCTCCATTTGGGCAGCGTCAGAGCAGGAGATGGAGGTGAGCTCCCAAGGCCCATCCTCCCTCCCAGTGCTCAACTTCACCCTCAGCCCCTGCCTGGTGCAGCTCGGTCTCACCCACCTTCAGGCTTTAGCTTCCCATCACTCCTGCAGGATGCCTTCCCTGTGCCTGTGTCCAGCCAGTCCGCAGGTCTACGTTGCTCTCCTGGAGCAGGGCCTATCAGCCAGGCACTGTGCTCTCATTGCTTGCCCCAACAGAATGTAAGCCTTCAGAGGCACGGCTCCCCTTTTTCTCATTGGTCACTGAGTCCGGCACCTAGTCAGTCCTTGGCATGTGGATGGCACACTACATATCCGTGTTATTGAAACTGACCCTGGAGTTGAGCCTGGCTGAACTTGCAGGTTGGGGCATCAGTGAAGAATCCAGGCTTGAGAAGGGGTTAGGTTGGAGGCACAGGCTGGCCTGGCAGAGTTAAACAGCTGTGTTACAAAGCTTTTCAGGGAGGGATAGAAAAACAACATACACCTGTGATCCCAGCACTCTGGGAGGCTGAGGCAGGAGGACTGCAAGTTGGAGCCCATACTAGCAACTTAGGGACTTAGTAAGACCTTGTCTCAAGAAACAAAAAAGGGAAATGTATGCTCATTTAAAAAAGAAAAAAAAGGTCAGTAAGGCCATGAAAACACATTAAAGAAATAAAAAAATTAAAGGGGCTAGGAAGGTAGCTCTGGGGATGGGCCCTGGATTCAGTTCTCAGTACCACAGATTGAAGGAAAGGTAGAGGGGTGGTGAAGGTGCCTCTGTAGTTGGGAGGGAGCAGGCTGGAGAGCGCACTGCCAACCCACAGACGGGGTCCGTCCTCGCTGCCTTTGAAGTATGATCAGCGTAGTTGAATAGACACTGAGAATAATGACTATGAAAAGGGAAGAGAGAAGCGATAGCGCAGTGCCTCGCCCGTGGTGGGTTTGTTGTCCCTCATCTGGCTCAGGTGAGGTAGCCCCTTAGGGCCCTGGGGCAGGGTACCCCGGAAGTGTGAGACAGCGATGCTTCCTGATGGGCCTATTCTAGTTTCCCATGCTGATTTCTTTGAAATTGGCTAACAAAAGATTATTCTACTGCAGAGTCAACTCTATGGCTGCACACCAAGTAGGATTTAAAGGGCCTCTAAAATTACACATCCACTCTTTGACTGACTATATGCTGGCTTTTTAATGGTCATCTTGCTTACTGTACAAAATGTTGCCTCTAATTAAGGAAAATGCTCCAATGATGTCCTAAATTGTTTCAGATTGCAACAAATCTTGGTGACATATATAACTTCATGAATGGTACACTCTTTGGTGTTCAGCAAAAGATTTTATTGAAAGAAAAAAGTCTCTGGGAAGTAACTGTTGAATCACTTAGATACCTGACAGAAAAGGGGCTCCTACAAAAAAAACATGTTTCGGAGTCTGGAGAAGAGTTGCAGTGTAATTTTCATATTACCAAATTGGGGCAAGCTTCTTTTAAGGGTAAGATTTTACTTATGTATTAATATAACCTGAGGAAATGTGCTGGGGAGAAATAAAATTGCTCTTTCTTTGGAGTGCATTTGTGGTTTATATCAGTAACATTACTCTTACAAGCTGATGAGCTCACGTCCATCCTAGTAAAGATGGGCTACGTTTGCCTTTCTTTCAGGAACTATAGATCTGGCTTACTGTGACACTCTCTACAGAGACCTGAAGAAGGGTCTGGAAGGTCTGGTGCTGGAAAACCTCCTGCACCTGATCTACCTGACGACTCCCTACGACCTGGTTTCTCAGTGTGACCCCAATTGGATGATATACTTTAGACAGGTGAGAAGAGAAGGTTTTTAAACTTAGCCTTTGCTTTTAGGGATAATATGATTTTTATAATGAGTATTTACTTTTTTTCTCTACTGAAATATACTAAAATTGGGCCTTTTGTCTTTCAGTTTTTAAAAATAGTAATATGGCAATAGTATCTGGTTTGACTTGAGCGTTACTTTTCTATTAAATATATTCAATATTGGGGAAAAAAACAGGAAAAGAACAAAAAAGAGGAGAGGACTATCCCTGGTCTGCTTCCCCAGGGACAGTTCTGCCGGGGTGCATCTTCACGCCCGTGTGCAGGGAAAGCAGGGGAAGCCCTTGCCGTGGCTGCCGATGGAGTCCTCTGCAGGCTGCGTGGGCGCCGAGCACTGTGGGCCCGAGGCCCAAAGACATGGCTCAGAGGGGCCGTTTATTTGTAGCCAGTACAAGGTGGAACAAAGCCCAGCAGGGCACAGGCTGCTGTGATGACCGTGGAGCACAGGCTGGCAGAAGGCACACACCGGGCAGACGCAGTGCGCACCTTTTTCCTCTGTGCTGAGGGTGGAACCCAGGGCCTCGGGTTTCACGGATGGACTTTACCACTTGTTACATTCCTGTCTCCTGGTCTTCAGCTCTGGAGCTCAGGAACTCTTTCTGTTTGGGGGTGGAGGGAGTCTTTTTGAGACAGGGTCTCACTATGCAGTTCAGGCTGGCTCTAGGCTCACTTTGTAGCCCAGGCTGGTCTCAATCTTTCAGCATCCTCAATCTTTCAGCAACCTCCTGCCTCAACATCCTGAGTTCTGGGATTACAGACATGTGGCACCATGCCTGGCAGCTACTCTGCTGCCTTTTCAATGTCATATTTGAAAATAATTACCATAGGCCTTTTTAAAAAGTGGTGCTATGTAGTACAGTTACTTTTGAGACCTTTCCCTCTGCCATGGCCACGGCAGTGTTAAGCATTGTACTGGTCCCTGGAAGCCAGCACTCGTGGCTGTGTCCTTAAGAGACGCATTGTTAGACACCTTCACCAGTCTGCACCCCAGAGTGAACCCCAGTGAGTACAGCTAGCGTGGCCTAGCCTGTGTTCTCTTCTCAGGCCACAGTCATATGTCTGGGAGGTGACTGAAACCCTTGCGAATGCTTAAGTTTAAAAGCATGCATTGTAGTAGCAGACACACTGCCAGAAATCCCACCAACACACTCCTGCCACAGGACATTGACCCTGGCAGTCTGTCCACCCTGGGGCCCTTCTCAAAGTCCTCTTTTTTTTTTTTTTTTTTTGATCTTTTTGAGACAAGGTCTCTCTGAGGCTCTGGCTGGCCGTGGACCCACTTTGTAGCCAGGCTGGTGTCAAATTTGCACAATCCTCCTGCCTCAGCCTTCCAGGGGCTGGGATTACAGAAGTGCGCCACCAGGCCCAGCCCTCAAATTCCGGACTCAAGGGTGTTTTTATAAATCTCTTTACTTCTGATTATAATCAGAACATAAAATGCACCCACCAACAAAAAGGCAGCTCCTGAACACATGGTGGAGCACCACAGTCTGCCGTGTTCCCAGAGCTGTACGCTGTGGCCTCGGGCTCTTCCCCACAGTCACAGTGACCAGGGAGGGAATGTTTTAAGTCCATTCAGAAAACTAACACATTAGTTAATTCAGGGTTGAGGCAGCCACAACAGCACAACGGAAGACGGGAAAGGGGCTTCCAGAAGTGCTACGGCCGTGGCGGAGTGATGGGCTGAGTGTGTCCAAAGCACGGGGAGCCAGCATCACGCTGAGGGGACTTGCGGGGGTGCAGCTGTCACTGCAGAAAGCTTCCAAAGAGACAGGCACACCCAGTGTGTGGCCAGTGTAGGCTGAAACATCACTTTGCCACCGAAGACTGATTCTACTAAAGTATGTCATATTCTAAAGTTATAGTTTTAAAACTTGTGATATAGTAAATAAAGTTATATGAGCTTTATCGTTAAACTCATGAAAATGTGCCCTAATAGGAGATTTAGTTCAAATGATAGGTTTTCTGAAATTTAATCTGAGTTTAGTTCACTGTCTCTCTGTGCAGATTGGTCAGCTCAGTCCCGCTGAGCAGCGTGTGGCCACGCTCCTGGGGGTCTCTGAGAGCTACGTGGCCAAGAAGGCGGCAGGCCAGGCCACCAGGAAGGTACCGTCACCCTTCTCCTAAGTAACGACTGAGTGTGCTGAGCCAGACTAACACCATTACCCACTCCTTTGCTGTCCTGGTCCGTTAGCTCCCGTTCCAGTCCTGGAGGGCAGAGGGCACCCCACGGGAGGGTGACAGGCTGGCATACCGCCGCGTGGTGCCTCACGTTGTGGTGGCTCAGATGCAGTCAGTAGGCATGGACTGAGTGTCAACACGTAAACTAATTTTACTTTTTCTTTTTTTAAATTTATTCTTTTTATTGCTATATATTTGTCATACACGTTGATCACATTCCTCAAAGGGAATTTGCACCTGTACATAACACATCTCAATTCTTTTTCCCCATCCCCCTACCCTTCCTTCAACGCTTTTTTTCTCCTCATTTATTTGGGTTTTTGTTTTTGTTGTTATTGTTTGTTCATCTTTTTGAGACAGGGTCTTGCTATGTAGTTCAGACTGGCCTTGAATTTACTACGTTGCCTACAGTGGCCTTGAACTCACAGCATTTCTCCTGCCTCAGTCTCCCAAGTGCTGGGATTACAGGCTTGTGCCACCATGCCCAGCTTCTGTTACTATTTAGTCAATATATTTTGATTAAACTAATGTCTAAAGTAGTACAGTGTGAATTTATCTTAATTACGAATGAGTTACCAGTTTAATATTTTAGAAGTATCAATACTAGGACTTCTGAAGAATGTTATATTTACTAGAAATCAAATTGATTTTGCCATGTCAAAAACTATTTCCCATTTTTAACAAGTCTTGCAAAAGATCTTAAAATTGATATTTTGCCATGCAAAAATTATATCATTTTTCTTGGCTTAGGAAATACATTCTAAGCAAAACCTACATTAGCTCAATTTATAGTTAAAGACACATTAAAATTGGAAATGTAAAAAGCTGTCTTATCCTATTTGCTATTCAGCTCTTAGGCTTTTAATCCTAATGCTGTTAAAAAGGGAGATCCATCCTAACTCTCATTTCCAACATTTTTCTACTACAGTAGAAGATGCATTCTTTTTTTTTCCCTTGTCTTTTTCCTTTTTATCGGTACTGAGGATCGAACTAATGACTGCCTGCTTGCAAGGCAGGTGCCTATGCTGCTGAGCTAAATCCCCAGCCCCAGAAGATGCATACTTGGTTCTGGGTTTGGTTTTGGTTTTTGTCACCGGCTGGCCTCAAACTAACAATCCTCCTGGCTCAGGCTTCCAAGTTCTGGGGCTACAGGTATGAGCCACCACACCTGGCAGACAAACTAAATTTTATATTGTATACTTAACTTTTCACGTTCTTTTTTCCCTTTGATTTTAAGCATGAGTTAGTTTCCAAATTAGCTTGATACGAGCAGTGAAACACCTGATGTGGACAATAGACACCACAAGAAAAGGAGGTACACACAACCAGTTATTAGCGACAGGAAGCATTTTTCTCATTGTTTTGAAAATAGTAACAATTTCTCATGACCATGTGGAAGTCACAGCGTATTTACTCACTTTACAACTTTACTCACTTTACAAGCCTATCACCCTGTTTATCTGCGAGCATTTGTGTAACTTACAGCCACAGTCATACCCATCCCCACTATGTAAGTGCCACGGAAAATGTAAGAGCTGCAGGGCTCCTCCCTGTGTGTCCTGCATTTCCTAGAGCTGTTGTAACAAATTTCACCATCCTGCACTGAAATCAAGAGGAAATGCTCGGTGTAGCTCTGCTGCAGAGGGACCACATGGCATCCTGTGAGACTGTGGGCCCAGCCCCTCACACCAAAACACCCCAGAAGGAAAGCAGCACCCCTAGGAATCTGTCCTCTTCCGATTCTGGAGCTGGGAGCTGCAGGACACAGGCCCCTCGTTAGTGGTTCCTGCAGGGGCAGGGTTGTCTCCGCCCTTGGTGCTGGCTGTGCACAGAGGCCCCGCTCTACGCCAGCCTGTGTCCTGCATGACTTCTCAGGGTCCTCTCCTTCTCACGGGATAGTAGCCACTGAATTGAGGGCCCATGAGGCCTGGGTGATTTCACTTAGAGATCCATAGCAACATAGAGAGTGCACTGTGGAGACCCCGTTCCCAAGTCAAGTCACATCCTGGGTACCAGGTGTCAACACTGGATCTTTCTTTTTAGCGGGGGCATCATTCAACCTGCTGCACTACCACAGAGGGAACTTTAAATTGGAAACAATTTGCCATATTGTTCTGTAGTTGGAAAGATGGTCATCTGTTTGTGTACACACACTAGCAGTCAGACTGGTACCTATGGAACCACTCTGTTCTTGCCACCTGCATTACAACTGCTTCACTTTAACCTTTGCCCAGTTTGATATAACCTGCACTTTGACGTATATTTACTTGATGGTGTCTTTCTAGAAAGTGGACAAGGATGTTGTCAACAGACTCTACCTCTCTTTCATCCTCTATGCCTTGCTCAAAGAGACCAATGTTTGGGGCGTGTCTGAAAAATTTAATATTCCTCGAGGGTCTGTACAAAATCTCCTCATGAGCGCTGCCTCCTTCTCGTCCTGTGTGTTGCATTTCTGCGAGGTAAGGCCGCTACAGTGCCAGTGTGTGCTGTGCACCTCCTACCTAGTCACACACTGTCACACTCACATGTATTATTCCAGAACATTCAGAATTGTGGAGGCTGTCCTTGTTTATATCTGCTTACAGCATATTATATACATTTTACGGTAAGTTTATAGAAATTACTAATCAGCTAAAAACACTGAACAGAGAAGTAGGAAGTGTCAAATTATCCCACTTTTCGGACCACTAGTAAAGCTTCAGGTATTTATTTGGCTTTGTCACCAGCTGGCCTCAAACTTTTTTGTCTTTTTGATACAGGATTTCACTGTGTAGTTCAGACTATCCTTGAACTCACTTTGCAGTCCAGGCTGGCCATGAACTTACAAGTGATCCTACTGCCTCTCAGCCTCCCAAGTTCTGGAAACTTCAGGTGTTTAGAATTAAATATATGTATATATAGTTGTTGTTGCTACCCAATTATCCAGATTTTTATTTTGAAGAGAATAAAACAAAAACAATGGGAATAATACTGAATTTCAAAAACTAGACAGAAGGCAATCCCTCATAGTTGCTGTATTGCATATTGTTAGCCTCTAAAAATGCTCGGCTACCGGGCCAACAAAGTCCGTCAGTCAATACAAGCATTAAATTCTCTGTGTACCTTAGTTGCTATCAGCTGAGCTTGTGTTCCTCCAAATCAGCCAGTTGCCTTCCCAGGGTAGGGATGGGGTCTGTCTCGCAGCCTGAACACTGGCCGGCTCATGGGAAGGGCAGGCTGACTTCCTGACTTTTTTCCCTGGCTCATGGCCACTGCTGACTCGGGGAAAAGCAGGCCCAGAATTAACTATTAGAACAGCCATTTTCGGTGCATGCTTGTAATCCCAGCACTTTTGGAGGCTGAGGGAAGAAGACCATTGGAAGTTTGCAGCCAGCTGGGGCTGCAGAGTGAGCTAAAACCATCTTGAGCTGCATAACGAAACCCTGTCTAAAAGACAAAACTGAACTAAACTAAAACAAACTTTTTGCATAGATTCAAAGTGTATAGCTGTGTATAGCTTTCCTGCGCACACTGAACGTATAAACACTCGCCAAGCAAGTGACCCCTGACCAGCATAGAAATATATATATGTTTTTAAGGCAAAATAATATGATGAACTCCCACTACTCACCTAACTTCAATATTCTCGACTCATGATTTCCAGTATTTATATATTTAAATAATGGTGTGTTGAACATCATCTCACAGTTGAGTCTTTCTATATCCAATATTTTGTCTTCAGGATAAATTCTGAGAAAAAGTTTGTTTTTACTTGAAAAAGAAAAGCTACATTGATTTCCTGATGTTTTAATAAAAATGAATAGAGTTTTTCTAGACTTATTTTTCAGTTTTCACTCTTTTCTCTCCTAAAACTAGTCCATGGGAGTCCTCCTAGTCTCTGCTGTGTTTGTTCCTAATATTTTGGCTTAGACTCATCTTTCCTCCCAGCTTAGCCAAGCTGCAGCATTCACACACAGGCGCACCCTCTCCAACCCCGTCACACAAACCAGACTTTGAAAAATGCTCCCAAGTTACCCTTCTGTATCTCCTAGGAGCTTGAGGAGTTTTGGGTTTACAGAGCCCTTCTGGTGGAGCTCACCAAGAAGCTGACCTACTGCGTCAAGGCGGAGCTGATCCCGCTTATGGAAGTCACCGGAGTCTTAGAGGTCAGTAGCTTCCGGTCTCCCTGGTGGGGTTATTTCTGCTCACAGAAAAGTCAGCCATTGCTGTTCTGTGAAGTCGGTTGCAGGGCAAGTCATGGAAGAGCCTGACTGCTCATTTGTCAGGCGAGGCTTTTATTTTTTAAAGAATAAATTGTTGCCGTAGTCTCCCAGAAACCCCTGCTTGCAGAGAGCAGACCCAGTGAAAAAGCCTGGTTGTGGGGCAGCACACAGCTGTAGGGGTAGAGGTGTGGTCCCTGAGAATGAGTGTGCTGCCCCACCAGGGAGGGATTCCCTGCAGGAGTACGGACTCTGTGCTGCTCACAGCAGTGTTGACTTGGTGGCAGAGAGCCGTTGGTTTCCTAAAAGAGGGAGAAGAAAGGGCTGTCTGCTGGCTTCTCAGCTTTCTTTTCTTTTTTTTTTTTTAATTTTAAAGGCAGTGGGCTGGGAATTTAGCTCAGTGGCACAAGCACCTGCCTGGCAAGGCAAGGTCATGAGTTTGATTCCCCGTACCAAACAAATAAAAAATTTAAAAAAATATTTTTAAAGGGAGTAAAATAGAACAATGAGAATCATATTGGACTCTAAAAACAAGACAGTGGGAAATCCACAGTAGTTACTATGTTGATATTATCATCCTCTAAATAGATGCTCAGACTACCGACTTTAGGTCTGCAAAGTCAGTCAAACACTGCAAGTGTTAAGTTCTTTCTTTACTTCATTTGCTGTCATCTCAGCCTGTGTCCCTCCGAATTGGCTGGTTGCTTACCGGGGGGCTGGGAAGGTGGGTGGAGAAGGCATGATCTCTCCCTGTCCGGGAGCAGGCCAACCCCCAGCCATCTCAACATCTACTGGTGCACAGGAGGGCACTGCTTCCTTCTCAGCTTCCTGTTTTCAGTCAGCCTTCAACTTCAGTTTATTTTCAGTTACTTAGCTCCTGGCACTGCTTGGGCATGTGCACACACACTCCATTGATCCCTAAGCAGGTGATGGGAACATTTCAGAATATCGTCATTAACATTAACAGAATATTGGGCTAGAGTGTTTTGCTTGCACATCTGAAATGGTGCCAGTAGCCTAAACGCCTTAATGGATTTCTTGCTCCTGACTTTAGCACACGTTAGCTAACTTATGCTACCTTGCAGTCAGATTGCAGCCACCTAAATGCACCTTTGAAATGTCTTCAAGAGTCTGATCTCTTCATACTTACTTTGTTGTCTTAATTTATTCCCGTGTGTTTTTTCCCCCTTATCCCAACTGTAATCCTGATTGCTGTGACACTGTCCAGGGTCGAGCGAAACAGTTGTACAGTGCAGGGTATAGAAGCCTGACACACTTGGCCAATGCTGATCCGGAAGTGCTGATAAGAACCATTGATCATTGTTCACGGCGCCAAGCCAAACAAATTGTTTCATCTGCAAAGGTGAGCAAGAATATTGGGCTTTAAATTTTCATAGTTTATTGGGCTATAATATTGGGCTATAAACTTTTATAGTTTATAATGTTAACTCCTCATACTTTACACACCAGAACCATGTACTGAACATCACATAGCAGTCTAGTTTTATAGACAGAAATGTGCACCCCAAGCCGGGAGTGGTGGTGCATGCCTATAGTTACAGCACTCGGGATACTGAGGCAGGAGGATTGCAGTGAGTTCAGAAGCAGCCTGACACAGCCTGTCTCAAAAAAATAAATGAATAAAATGAAAGGCAGACACACTCAGAATTTGTAAGGTATAAATACTTCGTGTACTAAGAAGAGGAAAAGACCTCTTAAAGACAAGGCAAGTGTGGTGGCACAAGCTAAGCCCACCTGTTGGGAGACTGAGACAAGAGAATTGCAGGTTTCCAGCTTGGGCAACTTAGCAATACCCTTCTCAAAATACAAATTGGAAAAATGCTGGGAATGTAGCTCAGCAGCAGAGCAAGCATAGCGTTCCGGGTTCAGTCCCACGAACCACCAAACATAAAAATCAGACAGTTTCAGGGGTTTGTTGAAGTCCAGGGAACTGTGCAGTCCTTGCCCTCCTCCCAGATGCCCTTTCCTCAGCACCCCCACATCTGGTCTTTTGTCCACTCGCACCCGCACTGACCACAAAGTATCCTTCAGTGGGGCTTGTGCATTGGGATCTCCAAGGAGCACAGAACTCACCCCAAGATACTGGGCTACACCATGCCACAAATCTCCACACTGAGTCAGAGCGCCGCCCTGTGGAGCTGGTCTGCCCCTGTGCTCAAGGTGGTGTCCCACACATGCAAGATGCAGGTCCGTTCTTGTGTCCCGCGCAGCTGCTGCCTTCTCTCTCTCCTTGGTGCTGAATAATGGAGCTTTGTAAGTCGCTCACAGGCCTTTGCTAGGTGCAGCCCAAGCCAATTTGCCCTTTTGCTCTGTGTGGTAAAGCCATCCCACAATTTAGGACTATCTCCTTCTTGGTATCAACTACAGATTGGTTATGCTGTATAAACAGAATAAAACCAAGTGAGACAAACCAGATTAAAGCCAATCAAAAAAAAACTAGTGTAAGTGACACAGAACTTCAAATCAATACAAAATCAATAATGGTTACCATAACGCCTGTTCTTGTCTTCAGAAGAGCTGCAGATACCTTCAGACACAGTAAAAATCAAACAGAACAGAATAGAACCAATAAAAACAAAACAATGAGTGCAATAAAGGACTTCAAAACAAGACAATAGCAAATCCAAATGGCTACCATAATGTATCTTGCTATCTTTGAAATAGCTGTTCCTGCCATTGGATATAATAAGATCAAACAAAACAAAACAGAATAAAACCCAAACTAACAAAACAATGAAAATGATACAGGACTTCAAAACACAGTAATAGGAAATTAATAGTGGCTGCCGCCTTCAGAAGGAGATTCCCCCTTAAATGCCATAATGTGTACGTTACTCTCTAAATAGAAGATCAGACCACCTACCCTAGACCTGCAGTCAGTAACCACTGACATCACAAGCATCAGCTTGCATTTCTTCTGAATGGTTACCATCGCAGCCTGTGTTTCTTCCTGTCAGCTGGTCGCTTACAGGGGCGGGAGTTTGGCCCTTCCTGTTCCCCAGCCCACACACTGGATGGGGCTGGGGTCTGCCTCTTTCCTGGTGGCAGTGGCAGTCCACACACATGGTGCTGGTTTGCAGGGAGGGTTTCTCAGTTCTTTTGAACTTTATTGTTACAGTATTGTCACTATAAAGCAAAACTGAAAGTACATTTTCGCCTATCTTTGAAAGATGCTTACATGGAATAAGTTATCTTACAAGATGTTATTGAAAAATTCGGTGAATACTTAGTTTTGTTTTTAATTACAGTAAAAACAGAGTGCCATTAGTTGCCCTCAGAGTATTCCCCATCAGGCTGGAGATCTAGCTCAGTGGCATGAGCACTTGCCTGAGAAGCACAAGGTCCTGAGAAGTAAAAGGTCCTGAGTTCAATTTCCGGTACCAAAAAAAAAATACTCCCCATCACTTTCAACACGCTGATCCCATCAGCCTGCCACCTTCTGAAGAGCTCTGAAGCCTCTTTCCTGCGTGTCTGCAGTTGCACGCCCTGAAGCCTCAGTGTCCTGAACGGATTCAGAGCATTCCCTTTCGTGGTTGCGCTGACTGTGGGAAAGATCTGGACCTGGGGAGGACGGCACTGAGGACCGCAGTCACGTCCCCCAGGCCACTTCTCATGGACAGCGGCCAGCAGTGGGCAGCACTCACTGCACTTCTGACCGTGCCCCATGAAGACACCAGGACAGAGCCTCCAGAACTGCTTCCAGCAGTGGGAGGCAGAGGGAAGAAGTGTTTTAGGTGAGGGACAAGGTTCTAGGGGACTCATGGCAAGGTGTCTTTCACTGTAATTTTTTTGTTGTTGTTGGTACCAGGGATCGAACTCAAGCCCTCACACTTGTCAGGCAAGTGCTACTGTAATAATTTTTAACTTATACATTCACTTTATATGTTAGTCACACCTCATAACTGATCTCAACAGTCCTATGGGAGAGGGTAGTGTGCATCATCCCTAGTTTGTACAGGAGATCACTAAGATGGACTTGGCTGCATTAGGAGGTCTTGGGTAATAGGAACAGATTGCTAATTCCATCTTTGTATCTCCAGCACGGTGCATGGCTTACAGAATGTGTTCCATAAATAGGAGCAGAGATGAATGAACGCTGTCTACTGAAATGGTTTGTGCAGGGGCGGTCCATAAAGAGCCAGGCCCTGAAGTCTGCCCATGTATTATGAAGGGTATAAATGACACTTCAGGCGTGCTGGGCAAGGTCAGCAGAGCAGGTGTGGCTGGGCGGGCACCTGGGGTCCCTCAGGGCAGCCAGTGCTCCTTTGTCACAGACGCATCTCCCGCTTGGGTCCTCAACCTCTCTTCCACTCTGCATGCAGCTTAAAAGAGTACTTGGGAGCACCTCGCGGTCATACCATTAGGTGAGGCCAGTCAGATACACACAGCGTAAGCACGTGGCCTCTCTTCTGTGAGAGCTTAGCCTGAAAGGTGACCATAGGAAGCAGGAGACAGACCCTTCTGAGGTGGGAAGGTGACTGAGATGGGTGGGGACCAGGAAGGGAAGGAGAGGAGGGAAGAATTGGGAAGCGCTCAGTGCATGTGCGCCTGCACACAGGCCCTAAATGGCAGGCGCTGTGAAGGGTGGACTTGGCATATGATTAAAGCAGAGGGTAAGGGTGGCCCTGCGGGGCTCTGAGTAGGGCAGTGGTTAAAGGTTGCAAGTAGGGGACCACAAATGGAAAAAAGGAAGCCTGTTGTGATTACATTAAAGCTGTGTGCAGTGGGGACAGGAATGCCACGTCTTGTCCTTTTACCAATACTGACTCTGATCGTTTGGTTAGAGTAAGCAAATTTCATCTGCTCAGCGTCTCCACTGTAAAATCACTCCTCTCCTCTTGGTAATTAGTATTTGGGGAGTAGATGTTTTTGAGATGATGGATATTGAGTTCTTTATTAAACCTTCATACATGCATGTAGCATTTTCTAGTGAGTTTTGTATAACTCAGTTATTTCTTTTCTTATCTTTTTTTCTTTTCTTTTTGGTCTTTCTGAGACACTGTCTCACTGTGCAGTTCAGGCTGGCCTTGAGCTCACTTTGTGGCCCAGGCTGGTCTCAAACTCACAACAATCCTCCTGTCTCAGCTCCTGAGTGCTGAAATTACAGGTGTGTACCACCATGCCTGGCTGTAATCACTTTTAAATAATTCTGCACAATTTGTCCTTTATCAAATCAGCAGCATTTTGTGATTTCCCCCTGTATGTGATTTCCTCCTTCATGTGATTTCCTCCTGTGTATAATTTCTTGAGACAGGGTCTCGTTTTGAAGTTTAGGCTGGCCTGGAACTCACTGTGTAGCTCAGGCTCACCTGGAACTTGTCACAATCCTCCTGCTAAGGACTGGGATTACAGGTGCAAAACCACCATGCCCTGCTCTCCTGTATATGATTTCACTAAGCTTTTTGATTATAAAAGTTTTGTAACAGAAGTACTTATACACAAGCCCCAGCTGCAACTAATGCCAGTATTTTATTTCTGATTTTAAAGGGAAAGTGTTACTCAGCAGAAATTTATTGAAATCTTGTATACTATGTGTAGAAATTCTTGCTGATTTTGTTGTTTTTGAAATTAGCAGTGTTCACTTTAAGCGCTTAAGTAAAACTTTCTTTTGAAATACTGATGAATTATAAAAGCATACTGAATTCTGTGGAATAATAAAATGAACATATATAAAAGATAACTTTCAGGAGGTAATTAATTTTTGCAAAATTGTCTGAGGTTTTATAGGTTAGAAATTAATGTTTAAGGGGTCAGGTCTTCATTAGAGCCCCTCTGTGTTTGGTGTACTGAGTGCTCTGCTCAGCTAGAGGTTTTGAGCTCAGCCTCTTCATGTCACTTACTGCTGTCACCGTCTGAGCACTCTTCTGTCTGCGTCCTTCAGTTTCATGTCTGGACTACTGGCCTTCGGGGTTCAGGCTCCTCTTGGGCAGCAGTGTCCGCCAGCCTCGTGTCTTGGTCTTTATTGCAGATGCTGCTGCAGGAGAAGGCAGAAGCTCTGCAGGAAGAAGTAGAGGAGCTGCTGAGGGTGCCCACCGATGTCCCCAGGGCTGCAGCCTCTCCAGCCCAGAGGCCCGAAGCAACGTGAAGAACAGTTTTAAGTTCAACGACTGTATTTATTACATGAAAGAGTCCCTGCCCTCTGTAAATGAGAAAATTATTTTAATTATATGCCAAGAACTATGGATGATGTGTTTTGTTGTTACTGTTTTTAAGGCAGGGTCTTGCTGTGTGTCCAGGCTGGCCTTGAGCTCCTGGTGACCCTCTGCCTCCGCTCCTGAGTGCTGTGGCCACAGGGGTTGCCAGCATACCTGGCGGGTGGACGGTGTTTGAGTGTACCGCTCACTCATAATTGGAGAGAGCTGCCCACTGATGATCCTTCTTCAGGACATTGTTTCTATAACGTCCACCACGGAATGAATCCCAGCTTTCTCAGCATGACTGGATCTGCCGTTGTGACCATACCTTGCGTTAGCCTCTCAACCACATGTTTCTTATCGTAGGTAGTAGGTCCAGAGCCTCGAACGAGTACCACTGAGCTGTGTTCCGCCCTTCCGCCTCTTGTCCCACGGGACCATTTGAAATCCCCAAAACCTTAGCTGTGATTTCTGTTTTGTTTTGCTTTCTCAGACAGGGTTGAATTGGCCTCTACGTAGAGGCCAGACTGGGCTCTCACAGCGATCCTTCTCCCTGTGGGAGGAAAGTAGGTCATTGGGCATATACCCTCAATGAGCACATTGAACTCCACTTCTCTGCTCTCTGCTTTCTGGGTGCCGTGAGATGCACAGCTCCACCATAGGCTATGACCAGCATGCTCTTTCCTGCCACAGGCCCAAGGCAGCCACGGGCTGAGACCTCAAGACCATGGGCCAATTAATTCTCTTTCGTTTTTAGTTCAGTCACAGTGACAGACATTGGATGATGGGATTAGCCCTAAAAGATGTCAAAGTGTAAAGAAATTGAAACAGTTCTAGAAAATAATAGGAAACTAGGTCAGGGGAACCCATGGAGATGACCCAATATTTATAAACTTAGTGTGTGATAAACACGGCTCTTTTCTGAGTGGTAGAAACCCACATGTGCCTGCCTTAAGCTCAAAGCGTATTTAGTAGCCATTCCCTCAAGCACTGGGCAGCTGGGAGTCTGAGGTCAGCTAGAGCCAGAGATGCTCAGTGCTACCCACAGCCTCCACCCCCTCTGAGGGGTCAGCTTCAAGATGAAAACAGAAACTACTCAGCTGCTAACTCCAGTTGGGAAGATCCTGGGAAGAGTAGTGACCCCATGGGTCCGTTTCCCGGCCCTGTGGCCTGCGACAGAGGTTCGGCCTTGATTTCCTAGAAGACAGAAGCATTGGTGGCTGCAGGAACCAGCAGCTCTCCAAACACGGTGCAGTGTGGCCTGGAGGCTGCAGTCGGGACTAATGGCTGCCTCACCACTGTAAAAAATACAGAGCAAAATTTCTGCCCATCTCTTTGAGGAGAAGTAAATTTTAGGTGAAGCCAAACTTCAGATGTGGAATGACGTTTTCCAGTACTGCCCTGAGCCCAGGGCAGGGCCCTTCCACTGAGCCTTATCTCCAGCCGTGGGTGTGGCCCTGCACGGAAAGGGGGGGGGGTGTCCTTCAGCTCCTTCCTCTCCAGCATCACACTGTCAGTGGTTTCTTTCTCACGTTTATTTCAGGCTATGAGCCAAGCTCGCCCATGTCTAGGATGCCCAGCTCCACTAAACTCACTAACATCTAAGCTGCTTTTGTTTTGCACTATAAGCTTAAATAACGACTATAAAACAAGATTTTTCTGTTGGCACATGTCCTCCTTTGGGCAAGTACAAACCTTTTGTTTCATTCTTTGGTTTTTTTGAAGACAATATTGCTATGTTCAGGCTGCTCTAGAACTTACTGTGTAGCCTGTGGTGGCCTCAAACTCCCGGTGATCCTCCTGCCTCAGCCTCCCGAGTGCTGGGGTTATAGGCGTGTGCCGACACATCCGTCTGTTTTTCATCACTTTCCCACACAAGTATCACAACAGCTCTGAGCTGCACCCTGTTCTCATGAGCAGTAATACAATAATGTATAATTACTACAGTGTATAATACGAGCACAGAGACACTGTCCTTGTCACTCTCCCTGACTAATAAGGGCCCAGTAACCTCCACTCGGGCTGCCCATGGGCGGGCACCGCGGTGCCCTCCATGGCACTATTTAGGCCAGTGGTGGCAAACCTGCCGTACAGAGCCCTCTCTCAGCTCGAGGGCCACGCTGCCCAGCATCGCCCCAGCAGCTGGACACACAAGTCCTTCGCGATGGCTGAGTGGGTTGGGCCTGCAGTGCGGACTCGGTCTCTAAGAGGTTTGCCTTCGCTGCTCCACACGGTTCCTTCCAGACATTTGAGAGGCTCTTTTCTTACCCATCTCACACGTTAAGAAAGTGTGACCTTCCTGGGGCCGCAGGCGTCCTCGGTGTCCTTGTGGCCGAGACAACACCAGACACCACTTAGATGCGGACGTGTTTTGTCTTGGCTCACATGTTAGCAGTCTTGGTCTTGTGTGGTCAGTCTAGGGCCCTCACAGGCTGCTCACCTGTGGAGGGAGACAGGAAGGGGACAACACTCTCCGGGTCCAACACTAGCCAGGTGACCAGGGCCTTCCAGCCTCCCAACGGCTCCAGTCCCATGACAGGAACACTTCCAGGGTCCTGACACCTAGTTCTGACCCGCACCTAACCCTCCATTAAGAAGTCACAGCCATTCCCCCGAAAGTGCCCAGAACGCAGCCAGGCGCTGCGGTTCTGCTCTGAACCTGCCAGCACGGCAGACAGCCGAGGCATTTGCCCCCAACCGCCGCAGCCCCTGGAATGACTTCAGATCAAATGCGGACAGTGAAGAAACAGCAAAAACCGGCAGCAGCTCCACACTCAGGATGACAGAGCCCGGGGGCTGTGGCCAGAGGCCTATCCACACCTGCTGCGGGAACAGTGCCAGCTTGAGCTAGGCTGCAGGGGGACCCACCCAGGAGGGAGAGGCGGACAGGTTCCCACCCCAGGGAGAGCCAGGCACACCTGCAGCGCATTTCCGCAGTCCGGGGCAGGCAGCAGCAAATGGGGTTCTCAGGTACCAGCCACACAGACAGGCAGGAAGTCTTGGTGTGGGGAGGAGACGGTGTGGTCGGCTCATCTGAACCAGGGTGTTAGAAGCAAAATTTTGCCAACTGCTTCCCTTCGTGAACCAAATTTTCTGCAAACAGATGAACCAAGGTATTAATATAATGGCATTGATCTTCCCCTACAGCTGTTGTGGAATTCAAGAGTAAATCCACTGGACTTGGGCTTTTCTTGGTAGTTTTATTACTTCTTCAGTCTCATTACCTGACTTTGGTCATCTACGTTTCTAGGAATCTACCATTTCTTCTAAATTCCCTGTTTTAGGAGAGCAAGGTTTCTCAGAGTAGTTACTAATAATCTGAATTTCATTAGAGTCTTGTGGTTTCACCTTCATCATTTACAATCTCATTGATAGGCCCCTACCCTTTGGTAAAATTGGCTAGGGGTTTGTCTTTTGTTTATGCTTTCAAAGAACTGAATCTTTGATTCATTGAGTTGTTTTGTTTCAGTTTCTCCTCTGATCTTTATATTTCCTTCCTTGTACTGGCTTTGGGTTTGAGTTGTTCTTGTTTTTCTAAGATCTAAGATGAAGCATCACATTATTTATTTGAACTTGCTTTGTTTTTCTGGTACGCAAATTCAACACTATAAACTTTCCGCTTAAGACTGCTTTTATTGTGTTTATATGTTCCAGTATGTGGCACTGGCATTATCAGTTTTGTTTTGTTTTTGAGACTGGATCTCCTCATGCAGTTTAGACTGGCCTTGAAGTTACTATGTATCCCAGGCTAGCCCCAAACTTTTGGCAACCCTTCTGCCTCAGCCTCCCAAGTACGGGGATTGCAGGTATGTACCACCATCCCTCTGTTTTTCAGAGTTCTTGTTCTATGGAATACTTTTCCACTCTTTCATCTTTATCTGTGTTTTTCTTTTTGGATTAGATGTATTTCTTGTATGCTGCATACATTAGGTTCTGTTTCTTGATTCGTTCTGCCAGTCTGTGTGTTCTGACTGGAGAATTCAGACTGTTCACACTGAGAATTATCACTGAAAGGTGCTGACTTAGTCCTGCCCTTGCATTATTTTCCTGTTGTGATTCCATCCTTCCCCACCTTTCTGCTTAACCACTCACCCTGTCTAGTGTGTCCATTCTTAGCATTTTTGGCACTGTTGGCCATTGCCCATACCTTTGATATAATTATTAATCTCCTGGATTTCTGCTTGGAACCTTTTCATGATCTCTTATTGTTTGCTAAGCTGGTCATTTGTGTTTTGTCATATTTTGGTTAGCTCAGCTAGCTTTTTATTAGTGTTCTGTGTAAGCTCCCTGATTGCTTTGCTAATTACCTCCATTATCCAATTAGTTATATTTTCTGTGAGCCTGCCAAGCACCTCATTGATCTGCTTTTTAATCTCTCAGTTTTCCTTGACTGTGTGACTTTCTTCTCCTGACTTTTAATTAGCTTTGGGGGAGCTGGGAGTTTTGGGAGACATGTTGCCTTGTCTTCTCATGTTTCTATTCTTTTTTTGTTGTTGTTGTTGTGTTTTTACAAGATCTTTGTAAATGAAGAAAAAGGTGACAGAAGAGTCACAGTCAGAGCATAGAATGTAAGAAAGACTCCCTGGCCTGCAATGGCTTAGAATATGGGAGGGGTCTTGAGCCAAGAAATGAAGGCAGCCTCTAGCAACTAGAAAAGGCAAGAAGCAGATTCTTTCCTGAGCCTCCAAAGAAGGGCACATTTTTGCTCACACTTGCTATTAGCCAAATGAGGCCCTTTCTGCACCCACAATTCTGAGATGTAAATTTGTGTTGTTTTAAGCCATTGCACTTGCGGTGATTTATTAAACCAGCAAGAGGAAATGAATATATCCACGGAGCTCACTGGCGTCATGGGCCGTGGGGCACACATGGGGAGTCACCATTCTGGAGGATCCTTTCTGGATCGCAGCCTGGAAGATCATCTCAGCTTTCTAAAGCTGTCCTGATGGAAGTTAAGCACCACAGAAGCCTGCCGTTTTCATTCATTGCTATTTTCTCCAGTCAAGATTTTCACTTGCAGTGTTAACAAAGACTTTTGTAAAATGTAG